ATTAGCATGGTAAATTGTTTTCCATCCCCTCACTTTAAATCTGGAGGTGTCTTTGGGTCTAAAATGAGTTTCTTGTAGACAGCATATTGATGGGTTTTGTTTTTTTATCCATTCTGATACCCTGTGTCTTTTGATTGGGGCACTTAGCCCATTTACACTCAGGGTAACTATTGAAAGATAAGAATTTAGTGCCATTATATTGCCTGTAAGGTGACTGTTACTGTATATTGTCTCTGCTCCTTTTTGGTCTGTTACTTTTAGGCTCTCTCTTTGCTTCAAGGACCCCTTTCAATATTTCCTAGGGCTGGTTTGGTGTTTGCAAATTTTTCTAGTTTTTGTTTGTCCTGGAAGCTTCTATTTTCAGTGACACTCTAGCTGGATATAGTATTCTTGGCTGCATATTTTTCTCATTTAATGCTCTGAGTATATCATGCCAGTCCTTTCTGGCCTGCCAGGTCTCTGTGAATAGGTCTGCTGCCAGTGTAATATTTCTACCGTTGTATGTTACAGACCTCTTGTCGTGAGCTGCTTTTAGGATTTTCTCTTTGTCGCTGAGACTTGTAAGTTTTACTACTAGTTGAGGGGGTGTGGACCTATTTTTATTCATTTTTGAGGGGTGTTCTCTATGCCTGCTAGATTTTGATGCTTGTTCCATTTGTCACATTAGGAAAGTTCTCTGCTATAATTTGCTCCAATATACCTTCTGCCCCCACCTCTTTCTTCTTCTTCTGGGATCCCACTTATTCTAATATTGTTTCATCTTATGGTATCATTATCTCTCAAATTCTCCCCTTGTGGTCCAGTAGTTGTTTGTCTCTCTTTTGCTCACCTTCATTCTCCATCATTTGATCTTCTTTATCACTAATTCTCTCTTCTCCCTCATTTATCTTAGCAGTAAGAGCTGCCATTTTTGATTGCACCTCATTAATAGTTTTTTTATTTCAACTTGGTTAGATTTTAGTTCTCTTATTTCTTCAGAAAGTGCTTTTATTTCTCCAGAAAGGGATTCTCTAGTATCTTCTGTGCTTTTTTTTGAGCCCAGCTAGCACCTTGGTAATTGTCATTCTGAACTCTAGTTCTTACATATTACTAATGTCTGTATTGATTAGGTCCCTAGCCATTGGTACTGCCTTTTGTTCTTTTTTTTTCCCCCTGAGGTGAGTTTTTCCACTTTATTTCATCCAGATAAGAATAGACGAATGAGAGAACAAAATACTAAAAGGGTTGCAACGACCTCAGAAAAATAGACACTAACCAAATCAGGAGAGACCCAAAACTGGGGGGAGAAGAAAGAAGGAAGGAAAAGGGGGGGAAAAATACACACACACACACACACACACACATATACATATGTGTGTATATACATATGTATATGTGTGTGCATATATATATCCCCCCTTTTTTTAAAATACTGGTGAATAGAACAGAGACACACACTTGATTTTTGGATATGTTTTGGTCTGTTAGAAGAAACTGCCTCCCAAAATTTTGAAGGAAAAACTTACATCTATACAAAAATAAGGGTAAACACGATGAAGGGATGGAATAGGACTGTAAAGATGAAAATTAAAAAAGATTCTAAGAAAGGAATTGATAATATAAGAAGTTGGTTAAAAAAATAAAAAAGAAGGAGTGCCTGGGTGGCTCAGTGGGTTAAGCCTCTGCCTTTGGCTCCGGTTGCGCTCTCAGGGTCCTGGGATCATGCCCCATATCGGGCTCGCTGCTAGGCGGGGAGCCTGCTTCCCCTTCTCTCTCTGCCTGCCTCTCTGCCTGCTTGCGATCTCTCTCTCTCTGTGTCAAATAAATAAAATCTTTAAAAAAAAAAAAGAAAAGAATGTGATCAGGCTGAGACTAGAACAAAGCCATGTGCTAGATTTAGGGTATTTTGATCTATTAAAAGTAACTGTATCCCAAAATTTTAAAAAAGAAAAACCTACATGTATACAAAAAATAAGGTCAAATACAATGAAGGGGTAGAATATAACAATGAAAATTTTAAAAGATTGTTTTAAAAATGTATTGATAAGAGAAAATAGTTAAACATTAAAATAGGAAACAGGAAAATTTTAAAAAATAGAATAAGAAAAAATAAAATATAAAAAACTTAACTTTGAAAGACTAAAGATTAATCATGGGGAAAAAGCCATGAATTCTGTGTGCTACATTCCCCTAGCTCTGGAGTTCCTCAGTTTTCATTGATTAGTGAACTTGGTCTTGGCTGGATGTTCTTGCTGATCTTCTGGGTGAGGGGCCTGTTGTACTAATTTTCAAATGTTCTTTGCCGGAGGCAGAATTGTATTGCCCTTGCCAGGGGCCGGGCTAGGTAATCTGCTCGGTTTTTCTCTCGGGACCTTTTGTTCCCTGAACACTTTCTGTACCGCTTTGGAGGATGGGAATGAAAATGGCAGCCTCCCAGTCTCTGGCCAGGGGGAGCCGAGAGCTTAGGGCCCCCACTCTCAATACACCCCCAGAGAAAAGCAGTCAATCCCTCTCATCCCTGGTCTCTGACCGCACTCTGTGCTCACCCAGCCTGTGACCCAGCGTTTCCATATCTGGCACACGGCCCCATTCGGAGTCTCCAAACCCAGCAGATTCCTGCTGCGTGCTCCTGTGCTGCTCCTTCTGGAGGAGTAAGGAGGGGGGTCACCCCAGATCTGCCACTTGTGGGGTCCCTACTTGAAGAGCAGGGGCCCAACTATGCCTTGGATCATGGTTTAAGGTAACCCTGAGCTGAGAGCCCCTCCTTGGCTCCATCTCTGTAGTCGGCTTCCCTGCTCCAATTCCTGGGAGCTCTGCCACCCTCAGGCACCCCAGGTCTTTCTCTGACCCCACAGGTCCTGAGACCACACTGTTCCCACGAGGGCTCCACCCCCCACTTAGCCTCTGGAGTGACATCCCTCAGTGGAGCAGACTTCTGAAAGTTCTGATTTTGTGCTCCACTGCTTGCTGGGATTTGCCCCCCCCCCCACGGTCTCTCTTTCTGTGTATCGCCTTGGGTTCACTTCTCTGGACATCCTACCTTCCAGAAAGTGGTTGATTTTCTGTTCCTAGAATTGCTGGTCTTCTTCTCTTTGATCTCTTGAGTTTGTAGGTGTTCAGAATGCTAACTAACTAGCTGAACTCTTGGGACCTGATGATATTTAAGTCTCCTGCTCTTCCGCCATCTTGCTCTTCCCCCTCACATCCAGTATTCTTAACCCTTCATTATATATTGGTCAGGGCCCAGCACATGTAAAGAGCTGTATGTTGATTGTTGACGTAGGATTGTTAGCGAGGTTGTGTATGTACAACATAGTCATATCCTCTGATGATACGAAGGAGCAAAATAAATGGTTTCATCTCCTGGGGAAAATACCAAAGTCAGGGAGGATATTAGCTCATGGGGACTAAACCACTACCCTGTTTTTGCTAACTGAAGATTTGCCATATGTGTTGCCGGTAAAACATTTCTTACTGCCCATAATCTTGCATTGTTAATGTTTCTGTTGTGTCTGGAAACATCTTGTCATAGGCCACACTTACACTGAAGTTATAATCGCTCCAACTGCTGAGTCTGTGCAAAGGACCTCTTTATAGGATTGTTGGGGAACCACAGTTCTAAGTATTTTCTCTGGTTTTATAAGTATATTAATATTGTGGTATAGGGTTGCAAATGTACCCAGGCGCCCCAATTTTTATTCTTTAAAAAAGTTTTTTTTATTATTTCAGAGAGAGTGAGCGAGTGAGTGAGCCAAGGGAGGAGTAGAGGGAGAGAGAGAATCTCAAGCAGACTCCATGCTGAGCATGGAGCTTGATGCAGGACTTGATCCCACAACCCTGAGAGCATGACCTGAGTCAAAATCAAGACTTGTATACTTAACAGACTGAGTCACCCAGGTGCCCCTAAAATTAGTATCTTTTAATTTGCACTACTTTTGATTGTAGGTTGAGCATTTTTTCATGTTTACAGGTAATTTGATTTTCTTGGTGAATTTCTTTTATTTATCTTTTTGTAGAAGTTCTACAAATATTCTGTGTAAAATGCTAATAATATTTCTCTCTAGCCTTTTTAAAAAAATACTTGGTCAAATTTGTTAAGTCTTTTTTTTTTTTAGTACAGCTTTTGGGTTATAAATAATTCTTAGAAAGGCCTAAAAAAGATTAAGAAAATATTCTATGTTTTATAGTTTTTTTTTTTTTTAAACTTTAAGAATTTCTGGAGTGTGTGATATAAGGAGGTAGGGACAAGCTCGTTTTGTAAGTGGGCGGCCAGGTGCATGGTCTCTTCATGTTACTAAATTTCCGTAGAGACCTGTGACTTTTTCTGAATTCTGTTATAGTTCATTGATTTATTTTGTCCCTGTATTGGATGTATTTTCTTATTTTTAATACTTGGCAACTCTGCCCATTTGCCCTTTTTTTCTTTCAAAAAGAATTTTGGATTTTTTTCAAACTTTAAATAGTCCAGGTTTATATTAGAATCACTATACCATTAAGATTTTCTCTGCACAGGGGCACCTGGGTAGCTCAGCTGGTTGAGTGTCTGCCTTCGGCTCAGATCATGGTCCTGGGGTTGTGGGATTGGGCCCTGCATCGGGCTCCCCACTTGACGTGAAGCCTGCTTCTCCCTCTCCCACTCCCCCTGCTTGTGTTCCCTCTGTCAAACAAATAAATCTTTAAAAAAAAGATTTTTTTCTGCATGTCAGTGAATTTGAGAGATTAATTTGAGCACATTAGTATGGACCCATTCAGGAATAAGATGGGTCCTTCAGTAAAGATAATTTTCTATTTCTTGATGTCTTTATTCTGAATTTTTAATTATAGAACACATGGTATTGTACTGTTAGTGACCATAACCAAAACTGTTCAAGCACAATTGGGTATTTTTGTTATCAAGTCAATATTTTAGACACACCTGGTATCAAATACTGGTTATTAAAGGAACATGATTTTATTGTTGTTTTTTTTTTTATCCTTGTAAGAAACGTGGTTGAATTATTTCTTGGTTTATGCTTTTCCAGACTAAAATGTTGATGGGTGAAGTGATGAGAGAAGCTGCCTTCTCACTTGCTGAGGCCAAGTTCACAGCAGGGGACTTCAGGTAAGAAGACTTAATGGGGTGTTTTGAAAAATCAGAGTGCTTTCATGTTCATAATTTCCCTTAAAAGCTACTCTTAAAAAACATCTAAGCATTAAAGATAAATGATGGGGTTAGAAGTGTTCTTTATTATTACTCTGTGACCCTAACACCAGTGTCTTTATTATCACCCACTTATGTCTGGTACAGAGTTGTAGGCACAGGATACTTAACATTCTGTAGTCCGTTTTCATTTAACATTGTATCATAAACATCCTTATTTTCAGGTAGCTGTATAGCCTTTCTCTAGTTGTGCATAATTTATTAGCTCTTTCTCCTGATGGTGAACTTTCGGGTTGATTTTCAGATTTTGGGAATATTAGAAAAGATGCCATGAACATTTTCATGCATACATATTTTAGTTTCTGTAGCAGTATTTCCTTAGGATAAGTTTGAGAATGGAATTGGTTTAAAGGGCATGAATTCTAAGGCTTTTGTGCTGTCAACGTATGCTTTATATACAAAGCATGTAAGATGGTTTAGTTTTTGCTTTCCAAGGGGGCTTTGCCAGTTATGTTGTGTGGTTCTCCCCAAATAAGCTTGTGTGATAAACCAGGCAAATGTTCTTCTTCTTCCTTTAAATTTACTGCCTTCTTGAGGCCAAATGGCTATTTGGGGACAGAGGTGGAATTCGTTTTCCAGGTTTTTTATTTTAGTTATCTTTACCCAGTGGCACAGTGTCTCCATTCCTAGTCTGTGTTATTCAGGAGCCTTTGCTGGCAGGTCTGACAGCCTCAGGGGCATAGGGTCTCTTGAAGAGATGGACTTTAATTTTGCCAGTGTTGGTAGAAGAGCCGCTTGCGTTGACTTCTCTGGCGGAGGGAGGGACTCAGTAGTATGTAAGTGGTGTGTGAGTGCATTCGAGGGTGGTTATGGTGAAAACACTTTATTTTATGGTAAGAACAGGTTGGGGAGTCTGACAAAACCGGATGGAAGTTACATTCTAGGGTAAGGGGATCGAAGTCCTACTAAGCCAAATCTAGAAGTTTGGACAGCAAACCTAGAAGGAAGGAGTTGTCTCTAAATTACATCACCTGAATAAAAATCCTTAATGTCATACCTGTGGCACCACATGCCTAACTGAAAACTCAAGCAATCCGTGTACTTTAAGATCGTTCTTTCTTGGTTTCTTATGGTCATGTTTTGAGTGTTGTTCATCCTTTGCTCTCTGAGGCCCTACTCTGGTAGCAGTGATTTTTTGCTGGAAAGACAGTTACCAAACATACTTGTGCCATCTCACCCTGTTGAAACTGCCTGATGGGTCCTTGTAGTTTTATTTCTTACTCTAAAATCTCAACAATCAAGGCCTTTTCTTTTTCCGCAGTACCACAGTTATCCAGAATGTTAATAAAGCCCAAGTGAAGATCCGAGCTAAGAAAGATAACGTAGCAGGTAATTTTTCAACGCTTTAGAATCCTTCGGAAGAAAAGATGACATTTAAAAAATGAACCTGTTTATACAGCAAGATCTTCATGCCCTAATTAATCTCTTCTACTTAGAACATGTTGAATTGCTTTACATGTTAGAATCTTTGTAACTGGTGGTTGCCGGAGGATGGGGGGCAGGGGAAATGGGGATAAAGTGAGTTATACATGATGAATACGTTCTAGAGATTGGCTGTACAATGTAGTGCCTGTAGTTAACAATGCAGTGTTGTGTTATTTAAAAACTTAGGGTAGATCTTGTGTTGAGTATTAACACACACACGCATATATACACACACACAAACAAGAAAAGGGACACAGATCTTTTGGAGGTGGTAAGTTTATTACCTTGATTGTGGTGATGGTATCACAGGTGTATACATATATCTAATTTTATCAAAATCTGTACATTAAATATGTGCATTTTTTTTCGCATTTTACATATATCTCAAAGCTGAAAGGAAAGAAAACTATAACAGCTTGAGCTCTTATTACTCAGGATAATTTGATTATTAAATAGGGGTGAACACTTAGGGTACCAGGTTCCTAAATTCATTGAAACTAGTTAAGTTCCAGACAGTCTCTTGACTTTTGAGTATTTGCTGAAAAAGAAACACCACAAGCAGTGGTGATTAAGAAACAGTACTTCAAGGACATGTTTGTGAACCTACATGTTTCTGTGTTTTAACAGGTGTTACTTTGCCAGTATTTGAACATTACCACGAAGGAACTGATAGTAAGTGTGACACTTTGGTAGTATATGTCTCTGGATTCTCTAGATTCCTCTTCAAAGGAATCTTTTTCTGGAAAATGGGTGCTGGAATAGACTTTCTTAGAGTTTAGTGGTTCCAGTGTTAGCATCCTCATATGGTACACTTGGGGTAGGAGTTAGTCAGTTAACAAAAGTGTTATGGCATAGAGTCACAAAACATTATAATGTCCTAAAATACTTTATTTCAACCTAGAAATACATAAACATACAGTCATTTGCCATTAAAAAAAAAAAAAACAAGGCCGTGAGCTTTGAGTATGAATCCACTAATTAGACTTCTGTGTTGTCTTTCTGCATAAACTACACCCATAATGCATTGTTTATAATTTCCAGTTTGAGTTTCTTTAAAGTAAAATAAGGTCTTAGACTCTGTGATGCAGTCTGAATGCTAAATCTTCCTAGATTTTATAGCTCATTCTCCATTTTTAAAAATTGTTTTAGCATTTCCTAATTTGGTAGCATTTTTGGGGTAGTAACACATTACTGAGTCTTTCCAAAGTAATCAAGTTCTTTTCATAGAAACAGTTTTTGGCCCTCCTCTCCCACTGGTGCACACACAGTGTTCAGGGTAGCCCCAGTGAAGAAGTGGAGTGAGCTGGGGAGTCACCTGTTACCGGCGCGGCACTGTACTGTGGGGGTGAGGCAGTGGGGCCAGTGTGGTAAAGTGAAGGTTGGTTAAAAGCTTCTCCTATAGTTATATTTAGAATAGTTTCCTTGGGAAGAAAAACACGTTCACGGTTACTCCTCTAACTATAGAGAACAAACTGATGGCTATGGGGCAGGGGCAGGGGTGACTTAGGCGGTGGTGGGTAAGGAGCGCTCTTGTGATGAGCACCAGCCACTGCATGGAAGTGTTGAATCACTATATTGAACACCTAAAACTAATATTACACTGTATCTTAACTGTATTTTCAATAAAAACATAAATGCTGAAAATCTCACATCAGAAAAAACAAACATATTGACTGTTCAGCATGGCCTGGGGAGTGGGTTGGGTACTTCATGTTTGCATTAAACAGGGGTCAGTGCATTTGTTTCTCCTTGTGTGGTATTAGTCTGACTTTTTTTTTTTTTTCAAAGATTTTATTTATTTATCTGACAGAAAGAGAGAGATGACAAATAGGCAGAGAGGCAGGCAGAGACAGTGGGGGAAGCAGGCTCCCCACTGAGCAGAGAGCCCGATGTGGGGCTCAATCCCAGGACCCTGAGATCATGACCTGAGCCGAAGGCAGAGGCTTAACGTAGTGACCACCCAGGTGCCCTAGTCTGACTTCTTTTGGGGAAATTTATGGGGAAGATTATTTATTCCGTAATGACAAATGTTGTCTGACTGGTTCTTTCAGGTTATGAGCTGACTGGTTTAGCCAGAGGTGGGGAACAGTTGGCTAAATTAAAGAGGAATTATGCCAAAGCAGTGGAATTACTGGTGGAACTAGCTTCGCTACAGGTGAGTAGCAAAAGAGCCAGAGCCCTGGGTCTAGTCGGCTATCAGAGTCCTTTGGGGAGGACTCACGTTTTGAATCAGAGCATCCTGCACTTCATGCTTTAGGCTGTTTTCATGATTTTATGGGAGACAAGCCCAGAGATGTTTTGATTTCTGAAATGGTGGCTTCCGCACCGTTGTCCCTACTGATGGCGAACAAAGCGCGTGCCTTGGTAGAGCTTCACCCTTTGGTGGGTGCGAACCGCAACAGCCAGTCCTAGATTTCAGTGTGAGTATAACGTGGCTGATGCTTGAAAGCTACTTTCCCCCGCTTTGTGGCCACTTCGTGTGTGTGTGTGTGTGTGTGTGTGTGTGTATAATAGAGCCTGATTCCTTCCTGTTGCCATTTTTATAACTTTAGGCAAATCTGAAGTAAGCAGATCGTAATAGCCTGGAAGTAGTGTTAGCTCTTTGGGAATTGCTGAGAAGTAGTCTTGGTTTCCACATGTTCTCTACAGGGGCAGTCTGCGTAAAGCCAAGTGAACAGGGTATTAGGAAAACTTCATGCTTAAATTACTAATTTGTCCTCTTATTTTAGACTTCCTTTGTTACTTTGGATGAAGCCATTAAGATCACCAACAGGCGGGTAAATGCCATTGAACATGGTGAGTATAAGCTGCTGTGAGGCTTTGTTCGTTCGCTTGTCCATAGCTCCACATTTGCATGGGAATCAGGCACTGATCAAACGGTGAACGAGCCCGTGCCGCATCCGCAGCGGCCTGGGCTGTGGGGTCAGCACAGGGAGGTGTTAGTTGTAAGCGCTTTAAGAGAGTTGTGTGACTTCTCCCAAATCCATATACATAAGGAAATGCTAAGTTAAAAATTCTGAAGTGTTCATTCATTTCTGGTTATGAATAAAGGATGAAACTATTTTTCAAAAGGCCTAGTGTGTTCTTTAGCTCTTTCCAGTGATTCAGTAATCTTTTTGAACACATTACATGCTTAACTTTAAATCCCTTTCCTGTAGGCCTTATGTCCTGCTCTTCTCCTTGATTCCTAAACATTGTCCCATTTGATGCATTTATTTCCCACCTCTTTCATTATTCTATAACTGTGCTTAGTGTCGGCACAATACTTCTGTTCAAGAAACTCTGTTTTCATTAAAGAAACATTCAATTTTAAGGCAAGAAAGGAATAAATTTTGAACAGCAAAGAAGTTATTTTGCGCTCTCAGTGTTAAATAAGAGGAACTTACCTCATTTTTAAAAACTCCATGCACATTTCCTGACCAGTTGCTGGTGCCAGGCCTTGTAAATGGAACCTCAAGCAAAACAGAGTGCATGAAGTGATAGCTTCAGCTCTCAGTGAGTTCACATTTTAGAAGCAGATAGGCAAATTCTCTGTGAAGCACCTTATGACAAACCCAAAACTCAACTTAGTTCATTCTCTCTGCTTGATGATCTACTTTTTAACAGGGATTGTGATTATATTTAAATTAACATCTGTGGTTCAGTGTTGTATATTCATATAAATTCAGTATATTCAATGTTGTGTATATTGTGGTCCATAGAATTGTGTTGTGTGTATTGTGTATGTTATCTGTCCATAGAAAGGACACTAACAGGGTACATATACTGAAATACTTACAGTAGTTATTTTAGGATGGTTGGATTATACTTAATTTTTTGTTTTTGTCTTCTGCATTAAATGTACATTAATTTTACAATTAGAAAAAGTAACTGTTATACAGATGAACATTGGCAATTTGAAAAAAGGTCTGAAGTTCTCACATATATATTTTTTTTAACCCTAGTCATCATTCCCCGGATTGAACGTACCCTTGCTTATATCATCACAGAGCTGGATGAGAGAGAGCGAGAAGAGTTCTATAGGTTTGTTGGAATTGGCAGTTATGGATAATTTCTTGTTTTTCATACTCTAAAGCCTCAAGTTGCTCAGAGACTGTTGGCTTATGTTCTTTAGAATTAATACAGCCTGTATTTCATTCTGATAAATGCAAAGCAAGAGACATAATATTGGCAAAGGTTCTGGAGACTAATCTGTGCCAAGTTTTGCACATATTTAAAATACGGCATCTCCAAGAAGGTAGGCCCTTAGGGGAAACTATTCATAGACTTGATTATTCTTTAAAATGAAATAATAGTTTAGATCGGGTGTCTCCCTCATAAAAAGAAACTAGAATTAATCAATCAACAAATATGTATTGCATGGTGAACACGTCCCAGGACAGAGTATAAGGTACTTGGGGGCATGATGTAATAATATAAATCATACCTTTGGAGAATTAGCACAGTACTGGGAGAAATGAGGCATGTACATAAATTGGTTATGAATAATTAGAGTTGGAAGGGATGATGACACTGACCAGGTAGTACAGAGGTCAGTGTCCGGTTCAGAGAAGGTGGGAGACGGGTGAAGACCTGTATTCAGGGAAGATGTGGCCATCTATGATTTATAATTGTGAGTAGCATCTATGATTTATAATCTTAATTATGAAAGGTTATTGTGTTCCTGTCCTTCAGTGACATTCAGGATTGTGGTATTCCAAACTGATCCAAATTTTTAATAAATGCCTGAGTGCTCAAAAGGTGTTCCATTATCAAGGAATGGATTTCAAGGTTTAGAGTCTGGGATAGGGACTTAAAAAAAAAAAAATTACTGTTAAGAATATCAGTCACAGTCTTATGCTTAGATTGGCACATGGGATTAGCTTCTAAAAAGAGCTTTCTCTGCAGACACGTAGGACGTGTATAGTCTCTCTCCCCCCTCCTCAAAGTCCATTATTAGCTTAAAAATGTGTATATTCTACCTCAAATCTTTATTTTAAAAATGGATTATAGATCACTGCAATTGAAACAAAATTTTGTTCTAGTTTATAGATGTTTATGATCCTTGTTACAAAACTAGCGGAATCAAATCTTCTTAGAATTGAAATAGTGTTCAGAAAATTCCTTCCTTTTGTTTTACAGGTTAAAGAAAATACAGGAGAAGAAAAAGATTCTCAAGGAAAAATCGGAGAAAGACTTGGAGCAACGGAGGGCAGCTGGTGAGGTGATGGAGCCTGCTAATCTTTTGGCTGAAGAGAAGGATGAGGATCTTCTGTTTGAATAATCTTTCTTGCTCTGGTTCTTTCATAAGCCCTAACATGGCACCATCTTAAATCACGATGTGTAGGTTTGGTATGTGTGGCTATTTATTTTTTGGCCTAAGAATTCACTGGTGGTTAAATTTTCCTGGATGCTGGTTTTGGGGCTACCTTTGCAAAATCCTAATCAGCAACCATTTATCACTTGAGATTTGTAGACCCTGCCCAGGAACCTGTAGAATTTATTTGGCAGAAGCAGTACCCTGTTCCATGTACATCTGTTCAAGTGATCTGCTTACCAAGCGTATTAGGAAATTTCCCTTAGGAAATAGTGGCCTCGGGCCAGCTGTTGCTGTAGCAGCCCGCTTCCTTCCTGCTCCGACACTGTGGCACTGTTGTCTGAGAGTGCTGCCGCCGCCCTGTGTAACCCTGGTACTTCCTCTCAAGCTTTATGAAACCTTCACTATTTTTCCTTGCATGACAGGTCTCTGTCCTGTCTGTCATGGGAGTTCTGCCAATTTTAATGTGATTATGGTATAAACAGTAAAATGATATAAAAATGAATTGTTCTTTTTTTTTTCTTAATGTACTAACAGTATCAGTCACGTTCTTAACCTGAGATTGGCACATAGGATTGTCCTCTACCAAGAGCTTTGTCTGCGGACATGTAGGACATGGATAGTCTCTTTTTTCCCCCTTCATAGTGTGTGTTTTCCTGATAAGCTTATGGAGATGATTGTTGAATTTCGGGGTACTCATAAACATGCCAGTGAGTTAAGAGGGGTTATTAATACTTCTTCCCTAACCTAAGAAAAAATAATTCTCATCTGAGTGTATGTAACAAGGTAACTTTTATCTTACAAGCAGTAACACTTGCTGTCTCCCATTAAATAGGAAGATGAGGCATTTGAGTGGCCATATCAGGATCTGAGGGTTTTTGTGCTGTTTGAGCTGGTGAGCCATCCGTGTTTACTCGGGCATTCTTGTACCCAGTGCTGGGCATTTCTGAGGTGATTGGCTATAGGACAATTTTTGGTGAAATTGTTAACACTTGGCTTATCAGTATTGTATGTAAGTCAATTGATAGTGCAAGCCTAGGCTTTTTAAAGTCCCAAGCAATTTGCAAACATCTAATACCTGCTACAAAATAATCTTTAGTTATGTGTCAGGCCCTCTTTTAAGTATTTTATTTATATTATCACAACAACCATAAGACACATGTTATTTTAATCCCACATTTCACGGAAGAAAATTTTAAGGCACAAGGAGCTAGAGTAATTGGTTCTAGGTCAAAAAGCTATAAAGTGGTGAATCCAGGATTTAAATCCAGGCAGTCTGGATTTTTTTTTCAGTGTTTTTATACCCTTCTAACCACCCTCCCCCCCCCCTTTTTTTTGCCTCCCCTATATTTAAAACTTTGGGTAAAGGTAAGATCCAAGGCCTGTTCTGGAGGAGCTGTTTTGGCAAGTCCTGTTTTGAATTGGACATTTTATTCTGTAGGTAACTTAGTAGTGATTGGAAAACCAACAAGTGGGTTCCTAAGCAGTTCAGTGTTAACCTATTTTCAAGGCTTAACATTTAATCCTCCCAACACTGGACTGAAGTGTAAATACTATTCTCTCCATTTTACAGAAGAGTAAACTGAGGCATTGTCCGGTCAGATAGCAGAGCTAGGATGCAGGCCTTGGTTCTTAAGCAGTATGTACTGCCTCTCTAGGAGGCAAAAAATAGCTCGAAGGGTATGAGAGCCCAGGTTACTTAATGGTTTTTCACTCAGGTAAAGTTCATCTTCACCTTCACCTGCTGAGGCAGGAGAAGTACCTAGATTTCTCCTGTGGCTTCTTAAAGCTCTTTTGTATTGGCCTTGGCTAAACTCCCTACAAAACTGCGGATGACTTTGTGGTGTTAGCATGTTGTTAACTAGAAATCAGAAGAAAACAGTGAACCAAATTTGTTGTGTGGAGTGATGTGATCCATAGGGGAAGGAAATGATCAGGAATAGAAAGCCAGATGGGTAGCAGGTGTGTGTGACACTTTTTGTTGGTATGATTGCCTCCTTTGGGAAATGTAGTGGTGCGGTAGGAAAGTGAGTGTTATATATTTGTCAACTCACATCCTATTCTTTGTCCCCTCAAATCCTTGGCTGCATAGAAGTGGAGTTTGGCCGAATATTACATACATTCTTTTTTTCCTTGAAAATGTTTAAGTTCACAGTGTTATGTTAACTTTAATAAAACAAGGAACCAGAACCTACATCTGTGCCAGTAGGGGGCACTCCCCCACCATGAATAAATTAAAAGGTATTTTATGTTTCACTCAGAGTTTCCAAGTGGACTTATTTCTGGCAAAAACTTGCAAACCGAGTGGTTAGGCGAGTTGAAACCTTGAACAGCAGAGGACATAAACACAGGACGTACTCAGTGGTTTTATTTGAAATATAACTTTACTTTGTTTTCACAATACAGTGTGCAGTATGACAACTCAAAATAAGAGTGCAGATACAAGTAAGAGTACAAAGGAGGATTAACAATAGATGTCAGAAAGGTTACCTTTTTTTAAGGCTAAATCCCTGGTTTATAGTTTCCATACACATTCACAAAATTACATTCAAATTATTCCTTATCAGTACTTATTCCTTAGGCCATGAGAAAAGGAAAAAAGAAAATCCAGACATTACATTTTTCATGTAAAGCAAATCTGGATTAGTCTAAATACTATTCTTTTGCATTTGTTCTGACTTATGAAAACTTAGCAAGGGAAGGTATTTCCTTATTTGAACTAATGTGAATTTCATTAGCTACTGCTATCATTCCGTTAAATGGATGACACCTCTCCCACATTGGGGTCTCCAGTCAGAGCCACAAAGGACAGGAAATGGAACTGGCCAGAGTGGCTGGATAACTGGGTGTATTAGCAAGGCTTTTTTTCCTTTTTTTTTTTTTAAGGGAGCCAGCCACTAAGTTTTCACTTTGTTTAGGGATTGTGTTGAATATCAACACATCCATGTCACTGAGACTGAGAAAAGTTTGGGATATAAAAATTTCTATCCCTCTCCTATTGCTGATAACTATAGGACTTCACTGACTCCCAAATTCTCTTGTCAGCTAAGAGTATTGTATGACATGGCATGTGCCTTGGTGTAGGGGCTTTGTTTGTGAAAGCACATGGCCCTCGTGTGGCTCTACAGTCTGTAGGCTAACTCCAGAACTGGCACAACAGCTGCTTAAACTGCCAACCTTTTAGATCTTAGGGCTGAAAACAGTTGTCAGTTACGAAAAGCAGCTCCTAAAACTCCACTGTCTACCATAGACTACCTTTCATTCCTTAAGAGAAAGTAAACTGGAAAACTGAAAAGATTAAGTGCTAATATTGTTGGTTTTCTCTGTCCTAAACTGGAGTGTTTCAGATCTGTAAAGAAAGTATGGCAACTCCTCCCCTGACCCAGGAATGTACTTTCTAAGGAACGGTTATCTTGAAAGTATTTCCATATAAGACACATTGCAGCCAACTTGAAGGCCATGCAAATTTGAACAGAAAAGGCAACATAAACTATCTACATTTGTTCAAGTAAAATTACATAGAAATCAAATATATACACAACAATGAGACAAACTACTCATTAAAAACAATTACGTTAAATTAAGTGACAACTCCATGTTATTCCAGTGTTTCGCTTTGGGAACAGGAAATGCTGTAGCTAAAGTCATAAAATCAAGACATTCACATTTGAGGTCGTTTGACACACATCACACCATCCCTATAGGCTTGAAAAGACTACAAATTAACTTTCCATACCAATTACAGAAGTTGAATTTTAAAGCTACAGCTATAGAGACAGTATGAAAATCCCATTAGCTTAAACATTTATGATTTAGCAAGACATTGCATTCTGGTCATTAAGAGGCAGAACTTGATAGGATAAAAACTTGCTTCTGTATGCTTAACTCCCCGCCCCCACCTATGTTCTTTTCCTATAATGTTCAAATGACTTTCAGGTCATCCTTTCCTTGTGATCTCAAAGTCCGCTGTTACAGTATCTTCCTTTGGGTATAATTTTATTCCAATGCTAAATGAGTTATCAATGACCATTTGTCAACCTATTAAATATTAGTATACAGTACAGCAGCTATATTCATCCCACATTTCATCCCACAATTCCAGTTTATTACTTATATATGGCGCAATCAAATTATACTGTGCTCATATATAAAAAATGCAAAACTGTCAAATGTGCTGTCCTCTCATATATATGAAAAACGATTTGCATCATGAGGAAAAACTAACCATGAACAGTTTATATGACCATCTGCCATTCATAAAAGTGTAACTTACACATTCTATTGTACTATGCAGATCAGAGAAATGATGCAAGGTTATAGAATCACTTGTGACGATATAAGCAAAAACCTCAGAAAATCGTTAAAAAGATATTTAATTAGATCAGAATCTGTTGAGTGTGCCATGAAATCTGATCTACATAGTCTGAGCTAAAAAACTGGTCTTTCTAATGGAATGTTTCAGAATTAAAAGACACATAAATGAATTTAAGCCTAACAGAATAGCTTGAGACCAAAGTGGCACCATTTTAGGAAAATAGTTCTGATGACAAAACAAGCCTTCTAACCAAATACTGTCCTGCCCAGTACACGAAAGCACAGTCGTCCCCCACCTCACTCCATTCCCATGAAGTCCTTTAACTGTTAAATAGCATCAATATTTATAACTATGTGAGACATGGACCATTGTATATATACAGACAAGTTTTTCATGGAAATAGGACCAGGCAGAAAAGATTTAGTTAGGTGAAAACATAATTAAAACATTTTTATAGGGATAAAATGGAACTGGTCTATTGAAAGCTTCCATTTAGAATCCTCAGAGGAGGCAAGAATCTCTGAAGCCATGTCCAGAGAATAAAGACTGCTATGCACAAATTGCTTAAGGGGATTTTCTCACTAGCTTGAGATCAAAGAACAGGTCTACAGCTTATTTGGCCTGCTACCTCAGGGTCTTGCTGAAGTAGCAGGGCTCTCTTCCTATGGCAGTTTGCCAGATAAGTCCAATCATACCACAGAATGGATGTTTCCCTCACCTCAGCCAAGTGGACGGTACCCACTGAGGTTCAGTATCAAGTTTGTTAATTAACCTAAGCAATTCCTGATAGGCTTTATCAAGATCTGAATTCACAATTGCCGTGTCAAAGTAGTGGCCATTGTTCTGCTCCATTTCTCTAGTCTTCTCAATGATTTCTCTCAACTCTTCAGGCTGTAAAGAGAATACAAAAACAGGTAATTCCATTCCTTAAAAATACACAATGAGTCACAGGTGACTGAAGAACAAAAAATGGCCGCCTGTTGCTTACTGTCTGTCAGAATATGCCACTTCAGGAGCTCCTCTTCAACCCTGTCATGGCCTCTGAATTCCTTTGCTCTGGTGTCTTCAGGACTCATACTGAATCATTTGGGACTCAGTACAACCTGTTCATACTGCTACTCAAGTTTTTATGTATTTGTTTTACTCACTAGAGGCTTCAAGAGCAAAGACTAAGAATCCCCTACAAGCATTTGTTTTCTAGCATTTTAGGGCATCATCACCTTTCCTTTAAAAAAAACCATCTTTTGTAATACAGAGTGAACCTTTCAGGTTGAAGCAAGGTTGGTAGGACCCAAAATGCCATCTACTCTTGGCTTTATAAAGATCTGCTGTCATTTTAGATCTACTGCAGAGTTCGGCAGGGTAAACATCATGGGAAAAGAAAAGGACCAATAGAATGGGTATCTTTCCATGAAAACACTGCCGATCAAGCCAAATTTAATCATCTAATATTCTGGGGGAGTTACTTGGCTAGCTTCTCTGTTTGCAGTACACAAAGGAGGTCTTTAAAGATGCAAAAAAGTATCCTAAGGAGAGTTTGGGAAATGACACAGATCAGGCTACTTTAAAACACTGGGTAAAGGAAACAGCTATTTCACAAAGATGAGCAGGTAGTGAGGTAGGGTATGAAACGTAGGCAGAATCCCCTGATTACCAGGCACATGTGTTCAACAAAGTAAAACTGCCCCCAAAGCACTCGTCAATGAAGAGAACTCACTCATAAGTCCAAATGTTTCTGATAAAAAAGTCACACACCAATACTATATTGGACCCACAGTACAAAACAACTTATTCAACTGGTTGATCTTCTGCAACAGTAGCAAGACATACTAAAAATACAACTACTCCGGCCTGTCCTGAAGCAGTTTCTTGTGTGGCTCTCTAATTTTCATTCTGGAATGTTGTGCATCTGGCTGTGGTACACAGAATCCTTTGTTTCCTAGGGACTCTACTACACCATTATAAGTAACTAAACACACTGTAACATTCTTGCTAAAGCTTAGGTCTATTCAAATCTCAAGACTACTGACAGAACATTCCAGAAAGTCAAAACAGAATCTAAACTGTGGTGCTAGAGTTGAAATGTAAAGCCCTACATCTCACATAGATTCACATAAAGAACAAATCCACCCAGTTTTTCTTTATTAAATTTAAGGCATTATTTTCTCTTTTGCCAAAATGGCTTATACCATTTATTTTAATTTAGGTTTTAATTTTCTCCTGTTTTTCAAATTATAATTCATGACTAAGATGAAACAAAATGTTTTTGTGGAATAAAAAGTCAGTAAGATACACCACCCTCTATACATTCTTACCGGTGTGCATGGAACGTACACCCAGACAGAACCGATTTTGGATCATAAAATAAGGCTGAGACATTTTTGAAAGATTCACATCTTTATGTATGTTCTCTGATCACAATGGAATTATAAATCAGTACAATATTTTTTTTAATCTCCAAATATGTGGGAATTAGAAAATTACATACTTCTAAATAACCCATGTGTTCAAGAAGGAAATGACAAAGGGAACAGAAAAAATGTAAAAATTTGTGGAATGCAACTAAGGAACTGCTTAGAGGGAAACTTCTAACTTCATATTAGAAAAGATGAGGGGTGCCTGGTGGCTCAAGCGGTGAAGAGTCTGCCTTTGGCTCAGGTCATGATCCCAGGGTCCTGGGATTGAGAACCACATCCGGCTCCCTGCTCAGTGGGGAGCCTGCTTCTCCCTCTCCCTCTGCCTGTTGCTCCTCTGCTTGTGATGTCAAATAAATAAAATCTTGGAAAAAAAAGGATAGGAAAAAAAAAGACTTAAAAAACTAAGTTTTCTTTAGAAACTAGACCAAATGCAAATTAATGCCAAAATATAAGAATAAAATAAATAGAAAAGAGACAAATAGTAAAGAAAATTAAAGATAAAAGGTCTCTGACTTAATTTTTTAATTTTTTTATTTTTAGATTTATCTATCTGAAAGAGGGAGAGAGTACATGTATGATGGGGGAAAGGGTAGAGGGAGAGGGAGAGAATCTCAAGCAGACTCCTGCTGAGTGTGGAGCCTGACATGGGACTCCATTCCACAACCTGAGATCATGACCTGAGCCAAAACCAAAAGTTGGACACCTAACTGAGTCACCCAGGTACCCCTCCACCCCCAACTTAGTTCCTTTTCTTAAGTGTTTAAGTTACTCCTTTTAATTTCCATATAAATTTTAAAAAAATCATATTTTCAATTTCTATAGAAACACCTGCTGGGATTTTTCTTTTTTGGTAGGGACTTTCTTGAGATAGAATTAATTTATAATTCACCTATTTTAAAGTGAATGATTCAAGTGTTTTTAGTATAGTTACAGAGCTGTGCAATCAATATCACAATTTTAGAATAGTTTCATCACCCACACCCTCTCCACAGCCAAAAACCCCCTATCTATAAGCAGGCACTCCCCATTTTCTCCCAACCCCCAGCCCTAGGCAACCAGTAATCTACTTAGGTCCCTATAGATTTGCCTATTCTGGACATCCCATAAAATGGAATCATATGGTCTTTTGTGACTGGGTTCTTTCACTTACAATGTTTGTAACATGTATGAGTATGTCATTTTTATGACTTTTTTTTTTAAAGATTTTATTTATTTGACAGAGATCACAAGTAGGCAGAGAGGCAGGCAGAAAGAGAGGAGGAAGCAGGATACCTGCTAAGCAGAAAGCCCAATGTGGGGCTCGATCCCAAGACCCTGAGATCATGACCCGAGCTGAAGGCAGAGGCTTAACCCACTGAGCCACCCAGGCACCCCTTTATGACTTTTTTGAGACTTATAATAAAGCTGCAGTAATCAAGACTGTGATATTAGCATAAACATGGGATCAAGTCCAGAAATAACCCCCACCCTGCTTCCTGTTCATATTTGAGGAGGTCATTTTTTAAAAATGTGCCAATATAATTCAATGGGAAAAAGAATAGTCTTTTTCAAGAAATGATGCTAGAGCAATGGAACATCTCTATCTGTTCAAAAACAAAACAAAAACACCAAACCAACCACCACCCTTACTTCACTCTGGAACAAAGATTAGTTTGAGAGATTACAGACCTAAAAGTAAAAGCTAACACAAGAAAGTTTTTAAAAGAAAACATGGGATAAAATCTTTGTAATCTTGGAGCAGGCAAGTTGTTTCAGACAGTACACAAAAATCATTAACCGTAAGAAAAGTAAAAAAGTGTGCTTCTTTAAACACTTTGAGAAAATATTTATATCCAGAATATATACAAGAGTTTTTACTACTCTGGGACGCCTGGGTGGCTCAGTTGGTTAAGCGGCTGCCTTCGGCTCAGGTCATGATCCCAGCGTCCTGGGATCGAGTCCCACATCGGGCTCCTTGCTCAGCGGGGAGCCTGCTTCTCCCTCTGCCTCTGCCTACCACTCTGTCTGCCTGTGCTCATGCTCTCTCTCTCTCTAACAAATAAATAAATAAAATCTTAAAAAAAAATAGATGTTTTAAGAGTTTTTACTACTCTGTAAGAAAACTTAAAAAAAAAAAAAGACATTTCACAAAAGAATATGCCTAAATGACTACATGAAAAGATAGGACTATCATTAGTCATCAGGCAAATGCAAATGAAAACCTTAGTGATAACACTTCACATTTAACTAGAATGGCAAAAATTGTTAACCAACAAAAGCAAAATCTAATAAGGATGGGGAACTAATGGAATCAACTGATTTAAAACAGTTTGGCAGCTTTATACAGTTAAAATATACTTAACCATTTGATCCAGCAATTCAAGAGAAACCAAAACAGATGTCCACCACGAGACTATGAATGTGTACAGCTGCTTTAATCACACTGGCTCAAAATTGGAAGCAACCCAAATTAGTTTTTTTTAAAGATTTTTATTTATTTTTAAAATGTATTTATTTGACAGAGATCACAAGTAGGCGGAGAAGCAGGCAGGGAGAGAGAGGAGGAAGTAGGCTCCCTGCTGAGCAGAGAGCCCGATGAGGGGCTCGATCCTGGGACTCCAAGATCATGACCTGCGTTGAAGGCAGAGGCTTCAATCCACTGAGCCACCCAGGCGCCCCAAAGATTTTATTTATTTATTTGACACAGACACAGTGAGAAAGGGAATGCAAGCAGGAGGAGTGGGAGGGAGATGCAGGCTCCCCACTGATCAGGGACCCTGGATCATGACCTGAGCTGAAGGCAGACACTTAACAACTGAGCCATCCAGGTGCCCCATCCCAGATAATTTTTAACTGATAAATTGTGATACATTTATAGCTCATGGTCTACCACTCAGCAGTATGAAGGGATGAACTACTACTGTTAGATACAACATTGATGAAACTCAAAAACATGCTGATCAAAAGCCAGATGCAAACAAAGTCTACGGTTCCATTTATATGAACTTCTAGAGGAGAAAAATAAATCTATAGTGACAGAAAGCAAATTAGTGGTAGCCTAGGGAAGAATGGAGGGGCATTAAATTCAAAGAACGAGAGAATTTTCTGTGATGAAAATGTTCTAAATCTCAATTGGCATGGCAGTGACATGGTATTTGTTTTGCCAAAACTCACTGAACTATACAAATAAAACACATGCATTTTATTGTATATAAAATAATTTCAGTGAAGTTAATTTTTAAAAATTAGAGAACTCTCATTAGAAAATCAAGCATACTGTAAAATGCTAAAACATTTTGGTACTGAGTAAGTTCTTCCTTTAAAAAATATGTATAGTTGGTATCTTTCTAGACCTTACTCAATTTGGGACAGCTAATTCAAAATAATAGGATAAATAATCCCCTGAGAACACTACCTACCTGAGACCACCAACCCAAAGTTACCTAACATGTTTTTGAATGGTATATAGCCCTTGCATGATACTGAATCCTTGGAGAAGAAAAACAACAAAATAAGTGTGCCTAGTAGAAAACAGAAAAATTAGGCTGAACAAATAGGAGGAAGTACACTCCGGTCCATCCTTTTCCTTAAACAACCATGGTATCTCTGGTCTACCAAAGTAGTTAATGGGCACAGTTTCACAGAGTATTAGTTTCGTTTTCTTCATTGTGATCCCCCTCAAGAACAGCCAGTGATCATGTCTTTTTTTTCTTGTATCCTCCCAAGTGCCAAGAACAGCAGATACTCTGACTCCACTAATTTATGAGCTTACGACTGTGTTGGAAACATGAAAAAGGGGTGAACACTGCGTTAACCAGCGGACCTATTTAGCCTGAACAAGGCAACCAGAATTATGCTTATCACAGAGGATGGGAAAATCCTTGACTGTGAATAGCGTTAAGAAGACACTGAAATGTATAACCTCCACATACAGATTAAGAAATATAAGTAGACCGAGAATGGAAAAAGATCTTGGGAAGCAAGAAAGAAGGTTGGTGGCTATGGTGCACAGCCAAGAATCATGGGAAAGGAATGATATGCTTTTTTTTTTTTTTTTTTTTTTAATTTATTTATTTGACAGACAGAGATCACAAGTAGACAGAGAGGCAGGCAGAGAGAGAGGAGGAAGCAGGCTCCCCACTGAGCAGAGAGCCCGATGCGGGGCTCGATCCCAGGACCCTGGGATCATGACCTGAGCTGAAGGCAGAGGCTTAACCCACTGAGCCACCCAGGCGCCCCGGAATGATATGCTTTTAATGACTTTTAAGGATCTTAAGAGTATTATGATGTGTGTTTACGGCTTTCGAAGAGATTTAGAGTGAATGAAATGAGAAGAACTGAGTGATTCCTCCATAAAACAAATATTTAAGAAATCATCAAAAAACAAGGAAAAATATTTGTTACTTTGATATAGTAAGTCACTTGACAGTTTTCATTTCACACATTTAAATAAAGTCAATACTTTCAGACTAACACATTAATTATATTATAGTTTTATTAATAATGTTTAGAAAATGTGAACTACACTCAACCATGTCCAGCATCTAAAATAATTTTAAAAAAATTTACCATTTCAGATCATGTGAGAAGACCAAAGGGAGAAGACAAACAGAACATAAATTTCAACCAGAGAAAAGCAAGAGCTCCCAACTCTGGTGCCCCACATATGCAGAGTATCTGCAGAGAAAAGTGGGTAATTCTAAGAATCTGCAGAGAACTTTTTTCTTGGGGGTAGAGGGCAGGGGGTTACATAATCCCTATTGGAAATAACACAGAACCATGTGAAAAAGATTAAGGATGTTTTAAGGAATGCCAAAGGTAACCATACATTTGGGATGGCTACAGGAAATACGTGGAGAACAACAAGAGAAGGCCCCTGCTTTGGAGAGCTGCCACAGTCCAGCCAGAGGCAACAACAGCAATTTTGGGAAAAGTGATATGGCAGAAAGAATAATCAGTTTGAAAGCTCAAGCTGATGTAGCTTTTAAGCACTGTGACATGTTAGGTCATGACTGTTTCATGTTTACTTTCAATGGAACAGTACAACACAGTAGTAACTTTACCTTTGGATTCTTGCCCTCCTTGGCCAATAACGCCCGAAGTCTTTCTTGTGAAGGGGGTGCAATGAAGATAATATATGGTTTCAAGTCTGAATTGCGGAGAGTCTTCAAGGACTATTAAAAAAAAAAGATATTCTGGATATTTACAATAATTTTCATTATTTAACTACTTCCCAATAATATACTTGGAATAATAATGTCATTTAAAAAAAAAAAAATCGCCTATGAGTGAGTTTCCAAACATCTTTGTAACAATTCACAATATTTCCAGATCCTACCATTCACTGTAAGAATATACTGTGTACCTGGAAAACACACACACACACACACACACACACACACACACTCAGCTTGCCCTCTTTATATAATGAAATAAAAATGAATGACACTGAAGGTCTATACCTGTGATGCTAAAATATCCTCTATTAAGATCACTTAACGATTATAAAGAACTATATTCAAAATCCATTTTGGAGGAAGCAGAAATAAGCAGTAATATTACCATGTACCAGGGTCTAAATGCAAGCAGAAAAGAAAAAGAAACTCCACACACATACACGAAAGAAGTTCTAGAAAAGTACATCCGAGGAAAAGCAGACTGCTTAATTTAGGAGGCTGGTTTTGACCCCGCCTTTGCCATTGGGTGAGTGTGTGTTTCTAAACTTAAGCACTCTACCAAAATAGGGATTACAAAAATACGCCCTTTTCTATCTAAAAACATTAACTAAGACAATGTGCTTAACGGCTCTAATTTATTTGATAAATATGCTAGCCCAAGTAATATAAGGAATTCTGAAGGCATTTAGTAAAACTATTTATACTTTTCTTATATCAAATGTTTATAACTAAAATAGTAGAGACTAAGCTTTTTTGTCCATTAAAAAATGTAGAGGATCAGTGGGAAAAAAAAAAAATGTATACTTTATTTACCTGCGTACGAAGACTTAGAAGACATATTTTGCCAGAGTTGATCACTTGCCGTACTGAATCTATGCTGGTTCCATACAAATTTTTCTCAAATTCACCATGTTCAATGAACTTTCCAGCTGCAATGTCTGCCTCAAATGCTTGCCGTGAAACAAAGTGGTAATCTCTACCAGCTACTTCGTGGTCTCGCCTACTCCGAGTTGTATCTAGGCAAACAAAATAAGGTAAAAATAACGGGCATGGATCAGAGTAAGGCTGGGGGATAATTCTGCTAGTCAGGGAAAATTTCAATTTTGCAATATAGATGAAACATCAAAAGATGAATTGAGGAAATCTTAAGAGCCCATGTGTTTAACACTGATTCATTTTATTTCTAGACTGAGAAATGAATAAAAGTGTGGTTTTAGTAACTTAATAATAGTCATATTTAATTGCCGAAATACATTTTATGCTTACATTTTAAATTACTTCTCACATTTAAAACACTGCCACTCATTTTATCCTAGCTTATTTCCATTAAGTTTTGTTTTTTTTTTTTTAACCCTCCCCACCCCCCGGGTATTATATAATCTAAACAGAAACTTCTATGTTCAGAGATTAGGTCTACATTTCTCTCTTCTGCATCAGTTTAAAAAAAAACCAGGAACTGATTCCATATTGAATAGATCATTTTAAGAAGTCTAAATTGAAATTCATTTTGCAAATAATTAGTACCATAGGAAAAACTGAAGTTTCTCAATAATGACTATTTTGGGTTACAAATTCTCAAAAGCCTTAATTAAAACAAAGTTCCTCTTTCCTGGGCAAAACTGCTTTAATGAATTGGATGAAAAATTTCCCTCCAGTGAGGTTCTAAGGTGGTCAACTGAAAAGCACAGAAAAATGGGAATGCATCCAAACTTACGAGGAACTGCAGATGCAAAGCGGTCTTTTTCTTTGTTCATGAGCCTCTGACGCAATTCATTCTGGCCACAGTTCTGTGGACCAATCAAAATGATAGGTCTTTTCCTATTTGCTGGCTGATGATAAAGTGACATTTCCTCATAAGTTAAGATCTCTTCATTGTCATAATCTTTGAAAAAAAAAAAAAAAGTTAAGCCCTTCAGATAGAATTATTGCCATGTAATAAAGACACAGATCTTCCAAAACAATTGGAAAGAAGCAAAATTTATTATTAAAAACACTTAACTTTTTTTATCAAGAGAAGTAATAACTGGGTAGGATTATATAAATACTTTCCAATGTCAATTATACTTCCCAATACTATGAAAATAAATAAGACAATATATTAATCCTTCTAGAAGCCTTTATTGCTTCTCTTTTTTCATAGTTTTAATACAATAAAACTACTTATACTGCTGGTACTGTAAAACAGCTGGTTGGCAGCCCATATTCTGACAGAGGATGGGGCACCAGGGGATGAACTATTGAGAGTATGGTCTGTCATTTTCATAAAACGGGGATACAAATACTAAGAGGGTTGGTTTAAGGATCAGACACAATATATATGCTAAGCGTAATACCTGGCATAGACAAATATTTAAAATAGTGGCTACATACAAACTAGCGTTATCAGAGAAAGCAGGAACACTTTTCTGTGATTACAACTTGAAAACAGTTTGTGCTACCCAAACTTGGAATACTAATACTAACCTGAGGTCATGATTCAAAAAGAGGTATAAATTGTGATAGGTGGGATAACATTCCTAAAGCCCATAATCCAGATGAAATCAGAATGGTCAAGTAGTAAGAAACAAAGGCAGACAACAAGCAGCCTGTCATCTTCCCACGCATATTACTTCCCCTGACCAGGGAAGAGCATCAGCTGTATAGGCACACTCAGCTGTAAGTTCCATGGGGCCAGGCAATCATTTTAGTTTTGCCAGTGCTTAGCACAGAGTGCAAAGCAAGAACTCAAACTGTATTTGTCTAAATTCTAACTCTATATTAGCTTTAAGAACTTAAGCAGATCTTTAACATCTGAACATCAATTTATTAATCCATAATCTCAAGGAATTTATTGTGAAACCTAAACAGATGAAGGCATCTAAAGCATATAGTTACTGCCCCTGGAAAAGAATGGCTATTATAAATGAGTTATTATTAATACAAAATATTCATTATGATGACACCATTATGAACAAAAGTGTAATTCCTGCCTTTCCCAAAATGCTCCGTCCTCTGAAAAATCAGAGTTCTTTCTTGTAACATGTTCAATCAGATTATGGCGGCATTTTTATTTATAAACAGTTATACATCCGTAAGCTTCAGATTTGCAGATTTTCTATAGCGTAATAGCTGTTAAAGCAGAACCAATGTAGTGTGTTTCAAAGGATGAAGAAACAGGTATTAATCGCTTATCCAAATACAGAGAAAAGGATTAAAAATTCAATAAATCTTAGCTACACAATGTTTCAGTTAGTATTAATGATGTTTATTTGGGAAAAAAGATTGAACTGCAGATTTAGTTTTAAATGGGGTTTTCAATAATCTATAACATTTTATTTTCATGTTTAATTTTGCTGCCTGAAAAAAAAATCTGAAGGTATTGAGAGAATAAGACTTACAAACTGTATAAGAAGTTAAGGAGTCCCTTTGCTTAATTTATTTGGCTTCTGACAAGAACCAAAGCAGGAGTAGCCAACTCTAATGCACTAAAGGATGAACCAAGAAGGTAATGAAAAGCAGTAAAATCAGGTTGAGTTTATAAAAACTGGGTGTGGTGGAAACTGTTGAACTAAGATAGTAGGTACCTAATAGACAACATCGTCGCTGAGGTCCAGCAGACAGCTGTCACTTGGTAATACATACCTTGTGTTATTAGAGTCTTTGATATGAAGAGACATTATACTTAAACATTTTTTTAATTTTAGTAATAAAACAAAACAACTCTATGTACCTGACTCAGCCAGCAGGGAGCAGGTTCTGTGGAATGGGTTGCCTCAGTGACATGAGTTATTATACACAAAATAATCATTTTTTACTTAAAATACAATTATATTGTTAGATTTTGTTTAGAGGCATCTATTGATTTCACAAAGAATTTAAGTAGGATAAACAGAGGAAACTATCAATATTAACACTGTATAATGTTAAACTGTAATTTTTATGTCAGTTTTTCTCTAAGTTCAAAATGCTGCATTATTCATAGGATTCCAAAAGAAAACAATTTCTGTGAAATGACTTTCTTAAGCACATCTTACATTAAGAAGCAAAAGAGGATAAGAAATATAACTCTCTGAAAAACAGAAGTTTAATTTATTTCAAGTGTTAGATATGGACCTCTTTCAGATATAAATCCAGCTATATCTAAGAGTAGAACTCACCATCATTTTTGGTAGGGGAGAACAGGGATGCGGTGGGGGGAGAGAGGGGTAGAGGGGAGGGAGAGAGAGAGAATCTTAAGCGGGCTCCACACCCAGTGTAGAGCCCAACTCAGGGCTGATCTCACAACCCTGAGATCATGACCTTAGCCAAAATCAAGAGTTGGACGCCCATCTCCCTGATTATGAGGAAGTTGAGAGGCAATGTGGGGGATTTGGGGGCAGTAAAGAATAAATGAAAAAAGATGGGATCAGGAGGGAGAAAAACTGTAAGAGACTCTTAATCTCATAAAACAAACTGAGGGTTGCCGGGAGGAGGGGGGTCGGGAGAGGGTGGTGGGGTTATGGACACTGGGGAAGGTATGTGCTATGAAGTGTGTAAACCTGGTGATTCACAGACTTGTACCCCTGGGGCTAATAATACATTATATGTTAATTTAAAAAAAAAAAAAAGATGCCCAACTGAGCCACCCAGGTGCACCCAAACTCACCATCATTTTTATTGGCATTATATAAAACCTTTTTCCTCTTCTTTTTATTCTTCTTTGCACACCATAGTTTTCCTGTTGAACAATTAAAAGCATTAACTGTAAATGTGGTACTTGCTTCCTTGAACAAAGCTACATATTTGAAATTGAAGAACTCAAGTAGTTTATTTATTTATTTATTTTTTAAGATTTTATTTATTTATCTGACAGAGAGAGATCACAAGTAGGCAGAGAGGCAGGCAGAGTGAAAGAGGGAAGCAGGCTCTCTGCTCAGCAGAGAGCCCGATGTGGGGCTTGATCCCAGGACCCTGAGACCATGACCTGAGCCAAAGGCAGAGGCTTAACCCACTGAGCCACCCAGGCACCCCTCAAGTAGTTTTCCTTTTAAATTTATAAACACATACTGTTGTACAGAATTATTTTTCAGGGAAATAGTTATAATTTTCCATTAGTCTCACATTACAGATGATCTTTTTTTTTTTAATTTCTAAAAAATGTTATTTACTTATTTATTTGAGAGACAGAGTGAGACAAAAAACAAGCAAGCATGAGAGTGGGGAGGGTGAGAGGGAGAAGCAGAGGGAGAAACAGACTCCCTGCTGAGCAGGAAGCCTGATGCAGGACTTGATCCTGGAACTCCAGGATCATGACCTGAGCCGATGGCAGTCACTTAACCAAATAAGCCACCCAGACGCCCCTGCAGATGATCTTTAGTACTTAAATCCTGTCCTTTCTTTAGAGTTCTAAGATAATTAGCTTTGCCTCTCATATCACTCTTACCATGAATACATATTTTTTGACAGTTCTGATATGTAATCTTTAAAAAAGATTTAAGAGAGAGAGAGAGGAGGAGTGAGCTAGCATGAGCAGGGGAGGGGCGGGAGAGAGAGAATCCTCAAGCAGACTCCCCAATGAGTGAGGAACCCAACGTGGGGCTCCATCCCAGGATCCTGAGATCATAATTTGAGCTGAAATCAGGAGGCGGCTGCCTAACCAACTGAGCCACCCAGGCGCCCCCTGGGATGTAAATTTAAACAAAGTTCCAGATGGAGACCTAAGAAGCCTTTCATTAATGTCAAATATTAAGTGTCCAACCTGATTTTTCCGGCTCCTTGTCTTCTTCTATGGTTTGCTTCATGGCTTCCCTTTGCTGCTGAAAGCTTTTCCCTTAATAGCAGAAAGAAAAGAGAGTAAAATATAAGACGAAAGAATGTAAGATTTTGTTTTTTAACCCAGGGGAAAATACCAGAAGCAACTCTTTGGTTACATTCCCTTTAAAATCTTTCTGCCACCATATGAAAGTATGTCAGCTATGACTATAAGCCTCCAAATGTTTAAAGTATTAGGTTTCAACCTCACTATCAACCAATCCTAGGACAGGTATTACTAGAAAATAGATATATCATCTATTAGAAAAGATAAGAAACCAGTGTTAGAAAATCTAATAGCTCAATTTTTACAAAGCTCTCACTGTGTACTCACTATGTGGAAAGTACTATGCTAGATCATTTAGAATTATCTCAAATCAAACAAATTAATTCTAGGAGTTAACTTCACAAAATATGTGAACATTCATCACTTTTTAAAGATAGCACTCAATATATCCCCTTGCATTTATTATTCTCAATCCCTTCTTCTATATATGTGTATATGTGTATGTTTTAATGATTTATTTCCATCTTTAAGCTACCACTGATAAAAATAAATGAAAAACATATAATGTTTTTCCTCTCAGAATTAAGATTTTAATATAGGAGGCTTTTGAAGTTTTTGACTTTCATCTTCTTTCAGGTATATACCTTAAAATCAAATGTATTTTTTTCTGGAGGATAAAAGTGGTTTTACTTAGAAAATCTGGAATAGAGTTCTACTTTTACAATTTTTATATCCAGTTCATTTTGTTTCAAGCCAAGGATTCTTTGAAATCAATAAGCAAATTCCATCTATGTTGGGATAATCTGTAGAATTTAGTGCACTTCATAAGAGCACAGCAAAAACATTAACACGGAGTTTGGCACACATAAGAAGTATTCAAGATTACCAGGTTATCTTATGCTATACAGATCTGCATTCCTAGTAAAAATAAGTAACTATGATGAGAGGGGAAATTTTAAGAGCATTAAAGTTTAAAAATAAGTATAAAAAATAAAAAAAAATAAGTATCTGATTTTGACATTCAAGAAAAAAATAAGGAACAAAATAATTTTGATCAGTTAGTTACATATCAAAATGTTTAAAAGCATTAGAATCAGGTACTTCTTTGGCACATTTTTATAGTACATATGTATATAGACTGTTGTAATGGCAGCAGACATTAATGGGAGGTGCACAGTATGACCCCTTAAATCTTCTAACACTTAAAACCATCATCAAACTCAAACTAAGGTAGATCTATTTACTTGTCCTATAAAAGACTTACAAATGATATCACCCAAATCTCCTTGATGCATCTTTCAGAAACTCAATGTAATCAGTTAATATACTCTAGTTCTAAATATTTATGGGCTAAAGATGGCATGAGAAGATATCAAATTGCTATCTGGCCAAGCACCAAGTAGAACATGATGGCTACTCAGATACTCCAGGGTTTCTAGAGGAATGTCCCATGTTACTGTGAAAAACCAAGGGGTGTAGCATCATCCTTTAAAGTTAACATAAGAAGCCCATTCCTCATTCTCTGAACTGTGACTGAGTATAGATAAAATTTGTTTTTAGTTTTTAGGTTTTAAAATAGAGGATTTGTAGCTTCCTGTGAACTTATTAATATATATAAAGACCCAACTGCATGAAGAAGTAATTACATCGTTTTTTAAAAGACACGAAAAAGTGAGTTTTTCTCTGTGAAGGCTTGTATTTTAAATGTTCTTTTAAATATGTTCTATTATATTGACTTTTACCTGGAACAAGCCCAGCTAGAGGCTGATTATCTTCATCCCCCTCCCTGTAGGCTTGCCACCAATTTGGATCTTCTTGACTGATGACATGAAGTATGTCCCCTTTTTGGAAAGACAGACCTAATTCTCGACATGGAACATAAGGATCATCTGAGGGATCATAATCAAAATGAGCTTTCACATGGATCTAAAAGATAAAAAGGGTAAAACGCAAAACAACAGTAATGAAATGATAACACAAATATTCAGCATAAACATTAAAATGTTATAATTTTCCATTAGTGTAAAGCAATTATGAGTTGAAAGTGGGGAGGTTTAGTTAAATAACAGCAGTATTTTCTCAGGCTTCTCTTGTTTTCTGCAATTAAGTTCATCTCTCTGTTGACTGTAAACATGTACAAGAGTAAAAAACAAACAGAACCAAAGGAGAGTAAGCAGAGCATTGCACTGTTAGCCACTAACAAGCCTGAAGTGCTCAGGGGCCTCAAAGGCTTGAGAGAAGCAGGAGGGAATGTAATTGAAACCCCTTCACTCTCCTTCCCTGACCTTTGAAAACAATGACTCTGCAATAAGGTATGTAATTTCTAAACCACAGCCACCTGGAAAGGTAGACTAAACCTAACCACATCTGTCACCTTTATAGGAGTGTCAGTTTCCCGGGTGCTGTCTTCCCTTCTTGAATACACGGTCAGTGTAACTGTGCCTTCGACTTCTCTGCTTCTTTCAAAGGGATGTGTTTAGGTTCATAAACAATCACACCCCAAACTGCAAAAATCATCTCAACCAAATTTATAATAAATTCTTGTTGTGTTCTATTTATAGGCTTTGAAATTTAATAATGGTTCAAGTTATAATTTTTGCTAACAATATATTTTTTCACATCCAAAAATGTGTGAGACTTACAGCATTAAAGGTAGGTAAGAATTCACATGCATCTTCTTGAAAGCTAAGTTATTGCCTGTCTTCCTTGCTCCAAAATACCTCCGTAAGATATAACAAAGCCATCTTAATTCTAAGAAGTTATGAATGAATAACTATTCTTTTCAACTTCTCCATCTATAATTTTCATCCCACCTGGTTAAATGGCATTTCCAAAATCTGTAAATAGTCCATTTTCATCTAATGAAATCCAACACCTGTGCACAATGAGTGTTTCTGCCCCATAGAGGTTAAACTGCAGCTCAATGAGCCAAGCAATTGATTGACATCCTAAGAATCTTATAATTCAGAGTCCTTTTCTATCTAATTGTTATTTGTCTTTCCTTAACTAAGCCTTTCACCCTTGTCATAATTGAGGTCACCTATCATAAAGCCAATAATGGTCTGCTTCGAAAACTGTTTTATGATAAGACAGTCTATCCTTTTAGAGCTCCTAAAACACAAAACTGACTGTTCTCAATCAATGATGATGGAGATGAAATGTGATCACTTTCTAAGTGATAAAGATATATAGATAGATAGATATAGATCTATATCTATATCTCCCTCTACAGTAAGGCATAACCAAGAATTCTCATGGAAACAGCAGCCTCTTTCAGAAATTATGCTTGAGTGTGTCATTGGATATTTTTATAATTTCAGAAAAATACATTACTAACTACTGTAAAGAGGAAATGAAGAAATCTAAGTCCTAATATATACAAATAACAACACTGAGGTAAAGCAATTAAATGATCCAGTTAAAAAGGTAGAATTTAGGGGCACCTGGGTGGCTAAGTCATTAAATGTCTGCCTTTGGCTCAGGTCATGATCCCAGGGTCCTGGGATAGAGCCCCACATTGGGCTCCCTACTCAGTGAGAAGCCTGCTTCTCCCTCTCCTACTCCCCCTGCTAGTGTTCCCTCTCTCACTGTCTCTGTCAAATAAAAAAATCTTTAAAAAATTGTAGAATTTACATGCTAATCTGTTTTGGGGGGTTGCTTTTCATGGATGTGCTCCATAAGTTCAATAGTACACAAAAATCATTAAGTGTATGGTCAGTGAATTTTCACAAAGGAAACATACCTGTTTAACCAGCAACCAAATCCAGAATCAGAATATCACCAGCACCCCAAAAGCCCTGCCTCATGCTCCTTTCAGTCACTAACCACCCTAATGTCCTCCAAGAGTAAACAGCATCCTGATTCCTGGAAGCATAAATTACTTTCCCTGGTTATTTTACTTCATACAATCACACAGTATTCACTTGGGTTAATGATGAAGAGACCTCATTCATTCTGACAGTGTTCTGCTGAATTTCAACTACAGAGTGCCCTAATGAGCCTTGTTCTTGATGTGAAAACAGAGTTTTGATTAAAATCTCGAAAACTTTGCCAGGTAAAACCAAAAGTGAACTTTAGAAAGTTCTATGAGGTTAGCAGAGAAAACAGAGTTGAAGACTGGGTTAAAAGATATATATACAATTTTGTAATCTTGGCATAAGATGTAGTATAATCTGGAAGTACCTAATATGTAGGATTATCAAAAAAACTTCTGCTTATCATCTCTGTCAATCAATGCTTCCAAAATCTGCTTAAATTTGTTGCTTTTTAGCCAGAAAGTCTTAGAAATCTAAATATGGAATTATAGCAATTATTTAAGGTGGTGAAGATATCATTTTTGTTATCAGGCTTTTAGAGATCTGTGAAATCAGACTAACGTGGTCACCTGACTGATGATTTTATCTAGTAACTTTCTGAAAGCAATATCCAGCACATTTTCAAAGTGTTCTGCTGAGATAAGCTGCCTAGAATGTTTATCAAAATACTAAATTCTTATGTCACATCTCAAACTTTAGCATTCTGCATTTTAACTAGCTTCCCTGGGTAACAGTTATATACATGCAATTTAAAATGTACCCTAAGGGGTGCCTGGGTGCCTCAGTCAGTTGGGTATCTGCCTTTGGCTCGGGTCATGATCCCAAGGTCCTGGAACTGAGCTCCCACATCAGGCTCCCTGCTCAGCGGGGAGTCTGCTTCTCCCTCTCCCTCTGTCTGCCGCTCCCCCTGCTTGAGCTGTCAAATAAAATCATTAAAAAAATAAGAAATATAACATACCTTAAAATCTTAGGAACTGCTACCCTGAGGGCAACTAGACTGCTGTGAAGGCTGTATCTAGGTTTGTGACTTTTGCCAAAGGTCAACAAAATCAGCCAGAGATGCTTTTTTCTCTCCTCTTGCCTAGGTGTCCCCACCGCTTGACTATTCAGACTTAGCTGGTTTGGAATGGGGCCTCTCTCTCTCTGTAGGCTAAGAACAGTACAGAGGAAAAATGCTTTGCTTATATAACAAGTTTATCTAGTGCTGTTTAAAATGTACCCCCTAAAATTAAGAGCAAAATTTATTTCATATCAGAGATGAACCATTTGGTTGAGTTAAAGTCTGAGCAATGCGTTGAGCACAAGCACATGCTCTATGTGACTTCTATCCATATATTCTAACTGATCAATTCTAATTAGTGCTAGAAGTTATCTTCATCCATCTTTCTTCTCCAGCTCTGTTAGTGGCTAATTTAGTTTACCATACAAAGGAAAACAGAGCTCCCCCTCCTCAGTTTTTTAAGTGAGGAGAGAGGGGCGGAGAGGAGGAGAGAGAGAATCTTAAACAGGCTCCACACCCAGCCTGGAGCCCCATGTGGGGCTCCATCTCATGACCCTAAGATCATGAACCGAGCAGAAATAAAGAGATGGAGCCACTCAGGAGCCCCCAATAGAGCCCTTTCTAAAATGGAGATGACGACCCTTATGGAAAACTCCAGGGGTGAACAATACTGTAGTATCAGTACAATGTATCTGACCAAAACAGTGTTTGCTTTCTACATAAAACAAAATCTTCTAAATTTCAAAATGATAGGGTTACAGGATTGTTTAAATACAATTATCTTCCAGCTTAACATTTTTCTCTTTGGCTTTTATTAGTACCCATAAGCTCGTTAAGCTATTCACATCTTAAGTCCTAAGATGGGGATATGGTAAAGAGATGATTCATCAATTTATTTACATCTTTCCTAAGGGATTCAATGCTCCAAAATAATTTTCCTTTTTAGTTTTTATTTATTTCTTATTATAGATTTATTTATTTTGAATTTTAAATTATAGGTGGGGAGAAAAGAATGAAAGTGTATCTTCCTTTAGCTTGGCCTAAACTTTACCCCTCATTCACAGTGTAAAATTAAGGGTGGCATCAAGAAAAGCCTTTCCGGTGTCAGGTAACAGTTTTCAAAATCCATCTCCAACCTGAGATTGCTCCTCCCAATCCTCACTCAAGAAGGATTATCTTTGGGTGTCTGGGTGGCTCAGTTAGTTAAGTATCTGCCTTCAGCTCAGGTCATGATTCCAGGGTCCTGGGACGGAGCCCTGCATTGGACTCCTTGCTCAGCTGTGGGAAGTTTGCTTCTGCCACCCGCCCCCCTCCCCTGCTCATGTGCATGCATGCTCTTTTTCTTAAACAGATAAATAAAATCTTAAAAAAAAAAAAATTGTTTGCTTCCATTTTTTCATATGGGAAGTTTGGGGTATCAATGGGACATCCAAAAGATACTTAGTAGAAGGCAGACCGAAATATGAACCTTAGGGTAAGAGCAAACTTAATACAGCAAATGCCCTAACTTGAAAACGGATGTCCATCTAATACACACTGAAATTTTATGTATTTTTTGTATTTCTAGTATTTATTCATAAAGCCTTACTGTATAATAAAATTCCAGATCCTCTTCCAAATAAGAAAAAAAATTAAGATGAAAATTAGATAATATATTTTATACCTTTAATAGAAAAGTGAATACATTTGACAGCAATGGTTCTCAACTTATCCTTCCAACCCAGTTCTCTTTATATAAACTATGAATGTGAACATCCTTAAACAATTATTATTTTTAATCTTTTTAAAAATTTTTTATAAACATATAATGTATTTTTATCCCCAGGGGTACAGGTCTGTGAATCGCCAGGTTTACAGACTTCACAGCACTCACCATAGCACAGACCCTCCCCAATGTCTATAACCCCACCCCCTCCTCTCCCAACGCCCCTCCCCCCCAGCAACCCTCAGTTTGTTTTGTGAGATTAAGAGTCACTTATGGTTTGTCTCCCTCCCAATCCCATCTTGTTTCATTTATTCTTCTCCTACCCCCCTAGCCCCCCACGTTGCATCTCCACTTCCTCATATCAGGGAGATCATATGATAGTTGTCTTTCTTCAATTGACTTATTTCACTAAGCATGATACCCTCTAGTTCCATTCACGTCGTCACAAATGGCAAGATTTCATTTCTTTTGATGGCTGCATAGTATTCCATTGTATATATATACACCACATCTTCTTTATCCATTCATCTGTTGATGGACATCTAGGTTCTTTCCATAGTTTGGCTATTGTAGACATTGTTGCTATAAACATTCGGGTGCACCTGCCCCTTTGGATCACTATGTTTGTATCTTTAGGGTAAATACCCAGTAGTGCGATTGCTGGGTCATAGGGTAGTTCTATTTTCAACTTTTTGAGGAACCTCCATGCTGTTTTCCAGAGTGGTTGCACCAGCTTGCATTCCCACCAACAGTGTAGGAGGGTTCCCCTTTCTCCGCATCCTTGCCAGCATCTGTCATTTCTTGACTTGTTAATTTTAGCCATTCTGACTGGTGTGAGATGATAATTTCATTGTGGTTTTGATTTGTATTTCCCTGATGCTGAGTGACGTGGAGCACTTTTTCATGTGTCTGTTGGCCATCTGGATGTCTTCTTTGCAGAAATGTCTGTTCATGTCTTCTGCCCATTTCTTGATTGGATTATTTGTTCTTTGAGTGTTGAGTTTGCTAAGTTCTTTATAGATTCTGGACACTAGCCCTTTATCTGATATGTCGTTTGCAAATATCTTCTCCCATTCTGTCAGTTGTCTTTTGGTTTTGTTAACTGTTTCCTTTGCTGTGCAAAAACTTTTGATCTTGATGAAATCCCAATAGTTCATTTTTGCCCTTGCTTCCCTTGCCTTTGGCGATGTTCCTAGGAAGACGTTGCTGTCGCTGAGGTCGAAGAGGTTGCTGCCTGTGTTCTCCTCAAGGATGTTGATGGATTCCTTTCTCACATTGAGGTCCTTCATCCATTTTGAGTCTATTTTCGTGTGTGGTAAAAGGAAATGGTCCAATTTCATTTTTCTGCATGTGATCGTCCAATTTTCCCAACACCATTTATTGAAGAGGCTGTCTTTTTTCCATTGGACATTCTTTCCTGCTTTGTCGAAGATTAGTTGACCATAGAGTTGAGGGTCTATTTCTGGGCTCTCTATTCTGTTCCACTGATCTATGTGTCTGTTTTTGTGCCAGTACCATGCTGTCTTGATGATGACAGCTTTGTAATCTTAAACAATTATTTTCAAATTTTGCAAATACATCAAGTACATATAAACAGACTGCTCCTCTGACCTGCTCTCCCCACAGTAAATACAACTATAGCCCAGATCTCTCCTTAGAATTCCAGACTGATGTATTCTTTTTTTAAAGGTTTATTTATTTTAGAGAGAGAGAGAAAGAGAGTGCATAGGGACAGGCAGGGGGAAAGGGAAAAAGAGACTCTCAAACAGACTCCCCACAAGCACAAAGCCCTACATGGAGCTGAGATCATGACCTGAGCCGAAACCAAGAGCTGGATGCCCAAATGACTGAGACCCAGGCACTCCAATATCGTCAGTTCTATGTAGTCTGTATGTCTACCTGAATGCCCCTCAAACCTGGAAAATGGGACCTCTTTATTTTTTTCCCCAAATCTGTTTTTCCTTCAGACTTCCCTTTAGTAATAATCAGCACCATTATCTGCCTAGTTACTCACTCAAGCTTCTTACTTCCACTTTCCTTTACCCTCCACCTTCATTACAAGGTCCCGCTATCTCTACTTCTAGAACACAGCCTGATCCATTTTTTCCACCAATACTATCATCCTAGTTTAAGCCATCATCATACTTTATAATGAATTCAGTTTCCTAAATCTCCTTGCTTCCATTATTGGCTCTAAGAATTCAATTTCTACACAGCCAGAAGTGTTTTTTTTTTTAAAAATACAACTGGATCATGATACTATATTTAATAGCCAAATTCTTGTTCACAGGAGAGACATGGGAAAAGGCACAGACAGAGACTGAGGCTGCCAGAATTCAGAGACAAACTATTTCCTAATTTTTCTTCTTATAAAGAACTTTAAACAGAAGGAAGGTTGCAGATGCAACATCAACTTCAATATGTTCCATAAGGAATAAAGGGAAGATGTGGAATCATGGCCAAAAGATAAAGCATAACTGTGATGAAATATTGAGGGAAAAAAAAATGAAACTGTGTCCGCTTTCAAAGTGTTAAGTTTTTGTAAAAGTTAACAATAACAGATGCAATACATCAGCCCTCCATGTAACTCAGCATTTTCAAATCTATAGTTTTTTAATAGCTTTACTGAGAAATAATTCATACATGATAAAAGTCACTATTATATGCAATTAGTTTTTAGTAAATTCAGAGTTGTGCAACCATGAACAATTTTACATTTTTATCACCCCAAAAGGAAAGCCCATACTCATTAGGAATCACTCCCATGCTCTCTTAACTCCCCTTCCCTACACTAAACTACTTTTGTTCTCTCTGGATTTACTTATCCTGGACATCTCATATAAATGAACCAATACATGGCCTTCTGTGACTGGCTTCATTCACTTAGCCTAATTTTTTCAAGGTTCATGCATGTTGTACCATATATCAGTACTTTATTTCTTTTGATTGCCAAATAATATTCCTTTCTATGGATATAGCACATTTTACTTTCCCATTGTTAGCTAGCAGATAGTTAGGCTGTTTCTACTTTCTGGTTAATAATATAATGCTGCTATGCACATTCATGTACGATTTTTTTATGAGGATGTAGGTTTTCAATTCTCTTGAGTCTCCACCTAGGAGTGGAATTGTTAGGTCCTATAGTAATTAAGTCTGTTACTACAGGTAGTTGAAAAATGTTTAACATAAAAGAGCAATACATATTCTAAAGTTAAAGTTGTGCATACCTTGTTTTTTGTTTTTGTTTTAAGATTTTATTTATTTATTTCACAGACAGAGATCACAAGTAGGCAGAGAGGCAGGCAGAGAGAGAGGGGGAAGCAGGCTCCCTGCTGAGCAGAAAGCCTGATGCAGGGCTTGATCCCAGGACCCTGGGATCATGACCTGAGCCGAAGGCAGAGGCCTTAAGCCACTGAGCCACCCAGGTGCCCCAAAGTTGTGCATACTTTGTAAAAGCACTTTTCCTCCCTACTCTAAGTATGTTTAAGTTAAATAACCTATAATGACAGAAAATTTTTGACAAGTTAGAAGTCATAAAAATTCTGGAAGAAAAGTATATTCTACTTTTTTACTTTTCAGAGTTCAATAAATTTGAAATATTAATATTTCTTTAAATAAAAACTACTGAATTTAACCTTTACTTGAATGAAAGAAATAATTACAGTGACATTTCTAGGGGTGCCTGCATGAAGCATCCGCCTTCAGCTCAGGTCATGGCAGGGTCCTGGGATCAAGCCCCACGTTGGGCTCCCTGCTCAGTGGGTAGTCTTTCCTCCACTCCCCCTCCCCCTGCTTGTGCTCTAATAAATAAAAAAATCTAATAAATAAATAAATAAATAAAATAAAGTGACATTTTTAATACTCAAAAGTAAACACTCATGTGTAAGTTTCTGTGTGGATTTAAGTTTTTGATTCCTTGGTATTTACCCAAATCAGATGAAAACATGTCCACACAAAAATACCTGCACAAGGATGTTTATGGCAGCTTTACTGGTAACTACCAAAACTTGGAAGCAATTGAGATATTCTTCGATAGGTAAGTGGATAAATTATTGTATAACCAGATAATGGAATACTATTTGGCACTTAAAAAAAAAAAAAGGCTACCAAAAGCTAAGAAAAGACATGGAGGAAACATAAATGCTTACCACTCATGAAAAAAGCCAATCTGGAAAGGCTACATACTATATGATTCCAGCTATATGACATTATGGAAAAGGCAAAATTACAAAGATCAGTGGTTGCCATGGGTTATGGAGGGAAGGAAGTGATGAACAGGCAGAGCACAGAGGATTTTTAGGGCAAACTATCCTGTATGATACAATGGTGGATACATATAAATTATACGTTGGTCAAAACCCAAAGGATGTACAATACCAAGAGTGAATCCTAATGAGAAATAATGAAAGCATCCATTCATTGATGTAGCAAATGATATAAGATGCTGATAGTGGAGGCAGTTATGCATATGTGGTAACTTTCTGTTCAATTTTGCTGTGAACCTAAAACTACTCTAAAAAATAAAGTTTATTAATTAAATAAACAGTAGACATCAGACAATAAATAATGAACATTAAAAAAAATCACTTACTACTGTTTCCTTGGCAGGAGGAGGCTTGATCTGTTGACTAGGAATCAGAACAAATGTCAGAGTACCATGCATATCAGACTGTAATAGAAAGATGAGGTTATTTTAAAAATCTATATAAAAACATTCTATGATGTTATGATGAATATTCCTTAAACTGAACTATTCTGGATACCCTAGAAGACTTCTTAAAAAGTTGGTAAAGATGAATGCCATTTCATCAGGGAGCATAAATTAGACTTTCCATGGATTCCATGATAGTAGAGCTACCCAGGAATGTGGCATTCTGTAGTTCTGGTCCACTGGAGAAAGCCACGTAAGCCCAGAAGTCTTCAGTTTTTGTCTTCTATTTAGTGTAAGCTTAGGAAGATTTCACAGTGAAGGTTTGGAAGATACCACGATGCTGTAACAGTTCTGGGTTATCTACTCTGGCAAACATCAATTTTAATGCAGTAGAATTTGAAATAGTAATTGTGACCAGGATTAGAAAAGTGATGCAAATACACAAATATACTCTTACTTCCCAGATACCTGGTCTCTGTCACCAGCTGTTTTTTTAACTGTATAGTGTTACTGTAAACTATTATTTCCCAGTACACCACTGACTGACTTGTTCAGATACCTCCAGCATGAACAGTAATCACAACTTCTAGTCCTGACATTGCAGGGAGTAGTGCTCAAGAGAGACAACAGCCAATAAAACGAGACCTAAAAACAACTACTGACACTGCTTTACCAAAGCAATGAATGAGGACAGGTGAAAGTAAGGATGTTTTCTAGACTCTTCAACAATCAGCAGCAGATAGGAGAGATTCTACTGTAACACTGATGCTAAGTAAATGAGAATATGAATCTGGTTTGTGGATATATACAAAGTGATCATAAATTGCCCTCAAAGACTAACTTTAAATGGCTTCCTGATTATATTGGCACTGTCCAACAGAAACTTCTATGATGATGGAAATGTTCTATATCTTAATATGGAAGGCATCAGCCATGTACTGCTCCTGAATACCTGAAATGCAGCCAGTATCAATGGGGAATAGAATTTTATTTAAATCTTAATAACTAGCACATGTAGCTAGTGGCTATTATATTGGACAGTGTACATTAATACCATGCTATTACCTAAAATTGTTAAGGAAAGACCAATCAGTTGAAGAAAATACAAAAAAAAAATGAACTTAAAAAATGATGAGGGCATGGACTTTGTTTTGTCACTATTTTCCTCGTGGCTAGCATGTAACAGGCACTGTTAATTAGTTATATTAGTGATTTCAGAGGCAAATAAAATATACCTTGTAGTAAGAAAGCTCAAGATAAAAAAAATCAGTGGTAACCACACCAAAATAAAACTCTACTAAAAAATATTGTGGGAATAATTATATCATGTGAATTTTAGGCTAGAAATTGTCTAATGTTCTTAATAATTTTTTAAATATTACATTTTTAAGTAAATAACAAAAAAAACACAGCTTTTAAGAACCTATCGGTCATTCTTCTGTATCAACTTACCAACAAGTCAAAAACCTCATTGACATCTTTCCCTCGAATTTCAATGCCATTAATTTCCAGAACCTCATCTCCTTCATGTAACAGACCACTCTTCTCTGCAGCACCTCCTTTTACTATCCGACTAATGATGACAGAATCCATTTCATTACGAACTGTAGCACCCTAAAAAAAGCCAGTATCTAATTTTAAAATGTATTTTATTAAACATTTCTTCATTTAAAACTTTCCTATTCAACAATATTAGCCTTCATTTATCTTGAGAAAAAAAACTTTACATAACTAGAGTAAACATGATAATTAGCTTTGAAAGTTGACCATTTTCCTTACAAGAGTTTCTGCTTCTGACACGCTGTTTTCATTTGAATTCTAAAATCAAGCAGACTTTTGAAGTATACAACAACAGAAAAATGCACTTAACAATAATGTGAAGACCTAAAATCAAATTTGCTCTATATATGCTGGATGCTATTCAAATAGTTATACTAAGATATAATTAGTGTATACAACATAACTATAAAAGTCCTTTTTAAAAATCAGAGTATGATTAAGGGATTAAAAATCTCACTTATTAAATATTAAATATTATAGCAGTACCATTTCAAATTAAAATGTATTAAACATTCACAACTGAAATATACGCATTTAAAAAATTGAAATATGAAACACAGAATAAAGCTTAAAAGTAGACAGAATATGTAAAATTTTTCTCCTAAACTTTTATCTTAAAATTTTGTTATAATTTTCCCAGTTTGTTTTTTCTGGTGGGGGAAAAACCTAGTTACATAAACTGCCCATAAAATACAGTTCTTATTTTATGTACCAAACTATTCAAGACCTAATTTGAAACATGAAGATTCAAGACTATTTCTCTGAAAATAAAAGAAAGAAAATTAAGGCAACTGCAGCAGACTTAGAAAAGAGATTGAAGAAGTTTTATATATAAAACATTAAAAATGCTGGCTAGCTAAACATAAGAAAAAAATAAAAATAAAACATTAGACAAAAACAAAAACATTTTAAAAATTAAACAAATATTAACATTAAGGAAAACATCTAGGTATATGTAAACTGTATAAGTAACTGTATTTCAACAGAATTAATGAAATGCAAAGATCAGAATTTCTAAGTACTGTTTTTTATTAAAAGCTGGGAGAATAATGAAGCAGATAACTTGTCCCTTCTTTGTTCCTCAATAATTATTTTACAAGCTATTACTTTCATCAAATTATAGGTAAGAAAAGATGAACAAATTTTTCTCAATTGAATAAGGACATAAAAGAACTCCAGGAAATCAACCTCAGAAAAGAAAACCTAGGGGCGCCTGGTGGCTCAGTCGTTAAGCATCTATCTTTGGCTCAGGTCATGATTCCAGGGTCCTGGGATCAAGCCTGCACCCCAGGCTCCCTGCTCGGTGGGGAACCTGCTTCTCCCTCTCCCACTCCCCCGCTTGTGTTCCCTCTCTCGCGGTGTCTCGCTCTGTCAAATAAATAAATAAAATCTTTTAAAAAAAGAAAAGGAAAGAAAAACTACTAGAAGTGTACAGGGGTCTTCAACTGTCTGCCATACATAAGATCCCTGTGTAGAAAGGATCTCATATCAGAGATGTGGAGCACTTACCAGTGGAATATCTCGAGCCTTTTCTATACGAACTATTTTTACAGTTTCTCCTCCATACTGGCCAATGCTTTCATAAACTCTCTCATCTGTAAAGGGTTCTAGCTGCATTTCCTGCTCAGCGACCTTATCGTGGGCCAGTAAAAGCGCCTGTTTCAAAGAAATACACAGCATTTGAAGTAGCAGCATGATTTATTTCTGTAGAGAGAATTTAATCTAATCACACAGACTAATATTCTAAGCCTTAGAAGATAATTATTTAATTACATTATATGCAATATATGTAATATATATTACACAATATATGTAATACATACACATTATATATATAATTATATATACAAAAAATAATTATTTGTATATTCAGTTCTGCTTCCAAATTTTCTAACTGAAGTACAGATGCAACCTGTAGCTCTTATAGCTATTAAAAAAAATGTGTTACATATAGCAAGGTAACTCTGGGATGGGTTATGAAAGTCTAAATGCTTATTAAACTTCATAATAACAAAATCAATTTAAAGGCCCAACATGGAAAATATAACCAAAAAAGGGAAGAATTTTTGTATAGAAAACAAAGTTATTTCAAAACTAATGTGATTAATTTTAAATATAAAAGTATATAATCAAAAAATAATGTGTGTGTATACGTGTGTATACACATTTATTCCAACACAATAATTATTTTGCAGTGTGAGTTATAAACCAAACAGGCTGCAGAGGTAATGTCTGAGGTCTCTTCAAGCCCCAGGAGACTTATCAGAGACTTTGAATACTGGAAAAATCACATATATCACTCTTTTCATGTTCTACCTGAATATGTGGCGCACTCAGCAAAGCAGTTAATTCTTGTCCTTCCTTCTGGTGTACTGCCTTCAAAACAGTTTGTACCTAAGAAACATATGGTTATTTTTCCTAGATTATAGGAAGTATCGCCAACATCTATACAGGTATATTAAAAAAGGTACAATTTAAAATTGTAAGAAACTACTTGTAAGAAAGAAAGGCACTACAAAGAATTGTAAGAGAAAAGGAATGTGTTTCTTCTCACATAGTTTTCAACCTTGTTATCATTGTTAACAGCATTCTTTATTTAAAAAACACATTAGACTAGATTTTGGTATTTACAACTATGAATGACCTACTTGCTTCTCGAAAGGTTTTCTAGCATACTACAAAATAGACTAATAATGATTACATAAGGGAAGAAAAACCATTCTAACAGTTAATGGTTATAGTTTTAAAATCATATATTTAGGGGTGCCTAGGTGGCTCAGTGGGTTAAGCCGCTGCCTTTAGCTTGGGTAATGATCTCAGGGTCCTGGGATCAAGCCCCGTATCAGGCTCTCTGCTCAGCGGGGAGCCTGCTTCCCCCTCTCTCTCTGCCTGCCTCTCTGCCTACTTGTGATCTGTCAAATAAATAAATAAAATATTTTAAAAAATAAAATAAAATCATATATTTATACAATTATATCTTAAATCAGAGGACACTTTAAAGCGTCACAGACTAACGAGATAAACTTACATGAGAGTAATGGAACAACTACGATGCCACAGGTGCTGGTAATTACATTAAAAAATCTGAGGTTGAGCAATTCTTGTATTCCTAGGATGAATGCCACTTGATTATGATGAATTTCTTTTAGCCTTTATTCCCTTATCTGTAGAATGGCACCTACCATTCAAGGTTCTTAAAAGATTCAGATAATCCATATAAACTGCTTAGCATGGTACCTAGGCACACAATAAATTACTACCTTAATATATTTCTAGATGTGAGTTATTCATAGTCACATTCATCCTAAGATTTCCATGTTAATGTGCCTAAACTGGATCGGCCTCTACTTGCTGAGTGCAGTTATGTACACGGGTTTACAAAACTACTGTCTGGTTTTAGGATCTAGATTGTACTATCCTAGTACATTGGGGTGGGAAATAGTCTGTATTAAAATGGTTTAACACAAGAATTATATGTTCTTCGATGTTTTGATAGAGCTTGTACATAAAATCATCTAGGCATGGTAGAGTTTTTAAGGGTGGATTTCCTAATGTTGCTCGAATTTTTTCCTTTATAGTAACTTGTCAAAGGTTTCTCTACTTTCTTATACTTTTCAAAAACCCAGTTTCTAAGTTTAAATCTGTTGTTCTTTCCATTTAAATAATTCAACTCCTTTCCTCTGCTGTAGTTTATTCCCTTTTTAAATTTCTAATCATTTAGGCTGAATATTCTGTTCACTTAAAATTTTATTTACTTAGTAATTTAGAAAGAGTGCTAGTGGAGGGAGGGGCGGGAGGGAGGGAGAGAAAGAATCTCAGGCAGATGCCCCACTGAGCTTGGAGCCCAATGCAAGGCTCCATCCCATCCAGGTCAGATCATGACCTGAGCCAAAATCAAGAGTTGGATGCTTAATTGAGCCACCCAGGCACCCCCAGTTCATTTATTTTCAATCTTCTTTCTTTTACCATAAATATTTAAAGGTACAAATTTTGCTTTGTGGACTATTCTTCCCCAAATATGATTCTATATATGTTCTCTGTGTCAATACCAATTACCCACCAAAAGAGTGCTTTGCAATAATTCAGCTAACAAAACCAAAATTATCACCATTTATTAAAACATATAAATTCATATATAGTGTTTTTTATGTAAGTAACTCATGATTAAAACAGTAATTCTCTAATACTTCTTCTGGCTATTTTAAATCATTTTACTAGTAATTCCCCTATCAAACCTAAGAGATGATTACTTGGGGATTACCTCATTTGACCACAAGTGGATCAAAGCAATGACAGTTCCCAAACCAGCCTGTTTCTTGTTTTGGTTCCTAGACAAACATGTTTCTAATTGTAGAGTTCTGTATGTATAAACAGGATAGCTAGCATAGCAATTATTATCTTCTTCAAGAATTCTATTAAAGCCTTACTAATGGACTAGTGCAGTAACCCAAAACTGTGGGCAATTAAATGTTGCTTTTTCAGATAAGGTGTCTTTCTTTTTTAAAATATATCAAATCTAGGCTAATTTAAAATGAACTTTATAGGGATGCCTGCGTGGCTCAGTCGTTAAGTGTCTGCCTTTGGCTCAGGTTATGATCCCAGGGTCCTGGGATCAAGCCCCCACATCAGGCTCCCTGCTCTGTAAGCCAGAACCTCCTCCTCTCCCTGCAGCAACCTCTGCTGTGCACACGTTCTCTCTGTCAAATTCATAAATAAAATCTTAAATAAAATAAAATAAACTTTATAGTCCCTGATCCTGAACTTTTGATAGCTGGAAAAAGTAATTCTGAAAATCCTGGTTTAAAAATGTACTAAGGGTACACAATGTGTACCAAATCAACTCAATAATAATTTTGTGTACAGACATTTTTTTTCCTTTTACTTTTAAATCCTTTCCCAAACACCTCTGAGATCTTCCCTTCTACAGAAATGTAGAGCTCCTCTTAAGTGTTTATTTATTTCCTTTCCCTATTAGTCTAGATTAGTCTATTTTAGTGTCTTCACATATCATCAGCTACTTCTACAAAGGACTAAGGAATTAAAAGGCTATTCTTATATTGTACTGCTTCCTTTCCATTGGCCTATAAAAATGCTCTAATCTCTTATCTTTAAAAATAAAATAAAAAAAAATACTCTTGGGACACCCAGGGGGCTCAATCGGTTAAGTGTCTGTCTTCCGCTCAGGTCATGATCCTGGGGTCCTGGGACTGAGCCCCACATTGGGCTCCCTGCTCAGTGGGGGCCTTCTTCTCCCACTCCTTCCCGCTTGTGCTCTTTGTCACTCTCTCTCTCTCTCTCAAATAAATTAAATCTTTAGGAAAAAAAAAAAGAAAGAAAGGAAATACTCTCCTGAGCTAATACCCTTTTCCAACTACACTATTTTTCTCTATTTTCTTTCAGAGTCAAAATCTTTTTTCCTTTAAGAAAAAATTTTATTTAAATTTAATTCATTAACATATAGTGTATTATTAGTTTCTGGGGTAGAGTTCAGTGATTCATTAGTTGTATATAACACCCAGTGCTCATTACATCACGTACCCTCCTTAATGCACATCACCCAGGTACCCTATTGATACCCCCCATCCTTGTTTTTCATTTTTAAACTAATTTTTTAAATTATAGAAATGGTATATGTTAAATGTGAAAAACTGGAAAATAGTTAATCAAAAAGAAGGAAATAAAAGTCATTATAACCCTCAAACCCAGAGAGACTCATTTGGTATATATCCTCCTATATTATCCTTATCCTTTCTTTTACCAAAATTCACCACAAGATATATATCTGACAAAAGAACCTGTAACTAGAATACAATAAGAACTCTTACAACTCCATTAAGACCAAAAATCTAACTTTTAAAATGGGAAAAAAATCTGACAAACTATGTTACAAAAGAAGACAGGGCAAGAGCCTATGAAAAATGCTCAATATATGTGAATACAAACTAAAATGATATGCCATTATCCATCCACTAGAATGATAAACAGGAAATAACTCAAACATCCATTAATAGGTGAGTGGTTAAACAAACCATGGGATACTTATATAATAGACTACTACTTACTTGGCAAGAAGTTACAAAATCTGATACATGTGACACATGGGTGAATTTGAAAAAGTCAGACATAGAAGACTACACATTATCTTATTCCATTTATATGAAATGCCCAGAAAAGGCAAATTTGTAAAAACAGAAAACAAATCAGTGAAGGCCTACGGCCTGGGGAGTGGAAGGGAGGTGGTTATTATTCATAAAGGGCCACGAGGGAGCTTAGTGGAATCATGAATGTTTCTATAATCTGACTGGTGACAGACTGATAACACAGGTGTATATGTCAAAACATACTGAACTATTCAATCAATCCACCCATTTTAACCATATGTAAATTGTATCAATAAAGTTGGTTACCAAAAAAAATAACACCCGTAACCCCAAAACTATGGGAAAATCTGTTTATTCATTACACTTACTTTTATTGAAAGGAGATCATGCTATTTATACAATTCTGTAAGTCCTTTGATTTGATATTAATTTTAAAAACATTTTATTTTTCCCTGTCATTAAATATCCTTTTCAATTCTAGAACAGAAATATAAACATTTGAGTCTTGTTGGCTGTCATTTACAGGATCAAGTCTAAGTTCCTTAGCATCATCTGACTTCTGCTTCTTTTCCAGTCCTATCACCTGGCATTCCTCATGCCTTAACCTTTTTGGTCCAGCCAGCCCTAAACTGTTTGTCATTCTCTGCAAGCATCATGCTGTCTTCCTATGATGATTATAAATGCTCCCTATGATGTAGCTCTCCCAGCCACCTGAATTGTCTTATCCTATTTGCTTAGATAACATGTATACTCAATAAGTTTGAACACATTTAAAATTATTGATGGGACTAGACTGAGCTCATTGAAGATGGAACTTACCATTTTCAGCTTTGTTATTTGGCTATTTGCAGAATGCCTGGCAAACAACACTCAATGTTTGATGACCTCAATCAGAGAGAGGGCAGGAAGTCATCCTTGATGCCCCCTTTACGTTTATCCTCCATATAAGAACAATATGTCCAATACTGTTAGTCTTCTACTTAAATATTTCTTCATTTCTTATTCAATTGCTATTCAAAATCTTACATCTGGACAATTACAACAGCCTCCATACTTTATGCCTCCATTCTTGACCTCACACAACTTATAAATTTCTTGCTTTAAACTTTTCTTTATAGTGACTGTTTCTTATTTAATTTGGGAAACACGAACATCAAAATAGAAAATTACCTATCTATCCACCACCTGAAGATAGCTTTCTGAATAATTTATTTCTTCCAACATTTCTGACATGCATGTTTGTATAGGGTATGTTTGCATGCGTACAAATTATATCCATATTTTAACAGGATTCATGTTAAATATCAAATAAACCAAGGTTTTTCTACCTCAAAGTAATTCAGCCGATTCAAATTAGAAACAACTTCACAGGTTTGCTGTTCTTCCACAACTTTATATTTCATTACTTCTTCCTGTTTCACTGCATTAGCTAGTGCCTCTAGAGAGTGTTGAATAGTAGAGGTGAGGGTCGTAGACTGTCTTATTGCAGGCTTAAAAAGCAGTATGTTGGGTATTTCACCATTACACAGGATGCTCCCTGTTGATAACTGATATTTTTTTTATTAAGTTAACACAACATGCCTGGCTTTCTAAGAATTTTCAACATCACGGGAAAGGTACTAAATTTTTTTCAGGTATCTTTTCTGCATCACCAAGTTGATCATATGGTTTTCTCCTTTCATCTATTCATATAAATTAATTATTAAAAATATTTAGCAACATAGATCCATCATAAGTTAAATTTAAATTTATTAATAACATGGCTTATCCAGCCTTCAGGATATAGACTCTAACTTTTAAGATTATATTCTACCCTTTACTCATTGTTGAAGAAATATGCCAGACTTCCTCAGTCACTATGGTCTTCGAACCCAATGGAGTGGCTTTTCCTCTTTCCTAGACTTCCTAATTATCAATCATCCTTCAAGACTCAGCAAATTAAATTTCCTTCTACATTTCTTCCTTTCTCCCAACCTCTCTCCTTAAATCAGGTACACCTATCTCATGCTCTTGGTACCTTACAAATACTGCCATCATAGTACTTCTCATCAGACTGTAATATTTTATTCATTGTTCTTCCTCAGTCAGACTCAACTTTTCACTGGTTGATGGACACCTGTGTTGACTCCAGTTATTATGTAAATGCTATAACCAGTATTTGTACTTAGTCTTTGTATTGGTATGTTTTCATTTCTCTCAGGTACATACCCAAAATGGAACTGCTGGGTTATAACATATAGGTATGTTAAGTTTTAGTTTGCCAAATACTTTCCACAGTGGCAGTACCAATTTATACTCTACCAGTAATGTGTAAGAGTTTCAACTGTTCTGTAAGTTCACCAATATTTGATATTGTCAGTCCCTTTTTATTTCAGTCATTTTGGTGTCTATGCAGTGGTATCTCATTTTGTTTTAATTTGCATTTCTGTTAGCTAATGATCTAAACACCTTTTTATACTTATTGGCTATCTGGATTTTCTCTTTTTGAGAGTGTCTCTTTAAGTCCTTTGCCTATTAAAAAAAACTGAATAGTCTTTTTCTTCTCAATTCATAAGAGTTCTTTTAGATTCAAGTTTTTGTTACATATATATGCATTTATATATGTACGCACATGTATATATATCTCAATATCTCAAAAAATCAACTAATAAAATACTATTTTGTAGTCTGCTGGCTTACATTTTTACTGAATAAGCACAAGTTCATTAAATGAAACCCAAGTTTTCAACCTTTTCTTGATAAAAGCACTTCAGTGACCAAAAAAACCTTGATTTGTGATTATTTATATTCTAGATTGTCAAAGATTAAATCTGGATCTCAATATAAGAAGTTTTCATAGGCGTTATTATCTATTACATAATACCTACTGTTTAACCCAAAAACTATAAAAATACTACTTTAAAAAGCTATAAAAACAAAGAATACTTCCTAATGTTTTAGGAAATTCTTTTGCTAAATTTCTAGGGGTTTTTTTTGTTACTTCAATTTTCATTTAAAGATGATACAACTGACGCATAAAGTAATTTCTTCAGTGCATATTAAAATGGCTGGAATTGGGGCACCTGGGTGGCTCAGTGGGTTAAGCCGCTGCCTTCGGCTCAGGTCATGATCTCAGGGTCCTGGGATCGAGTCCCGCATCGGGCTCTCTGCTCAGCAGGGAGCCTGTTTCCCTCTCTCTCTCTCTGCCTGCCTCTCCATCTACTTGTGATCTCTCTCTGTCAAATAAATAAATAAAATCTTAAAAAAAAAATTAAAAAAAAATAAAATAAAATGGCTGGAATTATAAAAGCTAAAAAAGCAAAACAGTAGGCATTGGGCAGATGAGCAGCCTAGTCTTAAGCCATTCACAAAATATCACCTGAACTCACTTATCAATATTCAGAAATATAAAACAAAAGAATTGAATTAGGTGATTGCTAACATTTTTCCAGCTGTAAAATAAAGGCAATGAATCCATTTAAATTTTTAGAATTTTGTCATCAGATTTAACACTCTGCTAAGATGAAATGAGTATATACCTTTCTTAAGTGTTATGCACTGTTAAGTTAGGGCTGCCACACAGTTGTGCAGACACAGCTACAGGGGAAGTTATTCACACAGCAGCACAATCACATACACTGTGGCCCTGAATAGGTCCCTCAGTTTGTACTCATTTGAGAGCAGTCTCAGCCCAAGGTGACTATCAGCCATATATCCAACCACCATCAAAGCAACACAATTCTTGAGTATTACTGAAGATATTTTTAAGGATATGATAGCAAACGTTCAGAAAATCTCCTCTTTATGGTACTTTTAAAATTGTGAACCATGTAAATATGTTGACTATCCTAAAACTAATTTTCAAATTAATTTTTTAAAGTTCTTTTGAAGAAACCTTTTCCTTCTTTCCCAAAGCATTTAACTCTTTAAGCCACTTGTAGTTCTTTGCACTCAACTCCTAAAACTTTTTAAGCTATGTTGCCTCTCTTATCCTTTTTCTTTTCACCCTGTTGTCTGTGCCACTTTCTTTAATTGGAGCAATTTTTGTCTCTCTTATCTCATTCTCTTTCCCACCCATTGCTCTATTCAACAAAACAAAGGCCCAGTTAGACAAAGACAGGGAAGAAAATGATTATAATTATTATGTATCCCTCCCTATCCTACACAATAAAAGTTACCTGTTTGTGAATAAATAAATAAAAGTAATGTTGATTATTTTGATTTCTATAAGGAACGTCATTTTCGGAAAAAAAATTTCAACTATGGTAAGTAAAACCACAGGAATAATTTTTTGAAAAATTTTGCATATTTAATTTCAATAATGAAAGATGAGCACAAAGAATGGGTTTCAACTAGCTCTTTTAAATACTAGTGGATAGAAAATTTCCTCTCTAGAATATGTCCTTAGGTCACACACTCTCCTATCCTGGGTAACATCAGACTTCTCTCAGCCACTCTTGCACGTAGGATTTTTGTCCATTGTATGTACCTAAATAAAGAAAATGCATTCTGTGCTCATCTGAAAAAATGCCTCCTAAGATATTTTAAAGGCCTGTAGGTCTCAAAGTCCTACCCTTCCCCAGAGCCCATTTTCTGTCTTGTGTCTGGGTTCAATGAAATAGATTTATTTGATAGGCTTCCAAAATTTTTAGTTTTTATAATATTGAAGTAACTTAAAATCCTATAAGGATAGAATTCCATCCCAAAAAACAGGAGATGGCTTATTTATATCTTTTTAAAGACTTCAATTTAAAAGACATTTGCAGAATACGTTAGACCTGAATACCAACATCAACAAGCAGCAGAAACTAGAACTTCAAAGTCAGAATGTTAATGAGAGAAACGCTCACGATACATTAAAAATTTAATTTTTTGGAATTCTATAGAGTTTGTACACAGGAAAAACTTCAAAATATTTACAAGCAACAAATTTAGAAGTTATACATTTATGACACCTGTTTATCAGATATAACTTAATCTCATCAGTACTCATCTCATTTTATAATGTATAATGCTTAAAATAAAACTACTTATAAAAGGACTAAAAAACTTCCCTTTAGTAAGTTAGACAAATATTTACCTCGCTATGCAAACATGTAATTTTATATATAGAACAAACACTTCTCATGAAACAGGGCTCTGATTTTGAAGTATACATTTTTTCAGGATAATATTCATATAGCAAATTCCTAACAAAGTAAGTTATTAAAATGAGCTCAATAGTAATTAATTCAAACAAGACTTATAATCACATCAGTATTTTCCAATAATACTCCCTTACTATCACTAACAATTAGCTTGTATATTTCAAGCAGATGTTCAGAATACATACCTCTTGTGCAAGATCTTGTGCATTGGAGATAAGAGGAAAAGGAGGACTGGCCTTGTTCATGTGTACTGTAACAGCGTTGTGTATCTTAAATGCATTCTGGAAATCTTTATTTTGTACAAGTTGTAAAAGCAGTGAGATATCCTCCTGGCTCTGAGAATCTACCAAAGTATGTTGGATATGTTTAAGTGAAGAAAACAAGTCTTCCACTTCTAGTAGGAGAAGGAAAAGGTATCCAAAAATTAATTGTTTCTGTCTTAATTCAACATGTGTTTTAAGATAAACTTTCTTGAAGCATCAAGTTTTCCCAAAAAACCCTTGCATATATTTTTGAGAATTAAATCACTATCATTTTATGTATTTTTAAGTAAAACTCAAAAAATTATACAAAATAGAATAACATTTTTTCCAAGCATTTGAAGTATAAAATACATACTCACTATAAAAATGAGGAATACAGAAATAAATTTAAAACCACCAACAGTCCAATCACCTAGAAACAACTTTTAAAAAAAAATCTTTGAGTATTTGCTTTTTTCATTTAACAGTTTATTTTAATAATTTTCCCACATTGCCAAGTACTCTTTTTAAAACATTATATATAATGTTTTATACTGTTGCATGGCTAAACCATATTTTAAATTACCATTACATTAAAGTTGAGCATTCAGGTTACTTCCCTCTAATTTTTTTCTACTATAAATAGTAAGCATTTCAATACATAATGATCATAGCTGAATAAAAATTTGAGTCTGATGTTTTCTTAAAATAACTCCTAGAAATAGAATTTTTAAGTAAGATTCTGACATTTTAAAAACCAAACAGCTTTCCAGAGAAGTTTTACTAATTTACGTCCCATTAGCAATATTTTCAACAATATTCAACATTACAGATCTATAAAACAAATTTATTTAATGGAGAGGGTGAGGTTTAGTCATATTTACCAGGCACTTCTTTGTGGTCCATAAAACTCTTGTGAACTTGTGAGTCTCCTAAACTTATATTGAAAGTTGTGGGCATGTGTATGTGTGGTACATGCCTGTTAGTGTGCCTATGCAGCACATGCATTTTTCCGGGACACTGTTATCCCAAAATGGTTAAGAGCCACAGGTTGTTTCTTCCCTGTCCAACAGGTAGATGTGTGCATGTGTGTATACACTTTGTTACATTTGTTAGAAACAGTCTGTCAGTTTTTTCATGTATCTGTTAACTATACTTATGGTAGCTTTTATTATAGAAGTTTTCAACTCTTATATGTTAAGAATGATCCACCTTTTCCTGTGTGATTTCTTTCACTGTTTCAGTGCTTATAAACTCCTTCTGCTAGGTCATTAAATATTTGCCTACATTTTTTTTTTTGCTTCTTACAGCTTCTACTTCATAATTAACTTTAATCCATCTAGAATTTACCTTGGTACAGATCTGAGAGGAAACTTTAACTTCATTTCTTTTCTTCCAAGTGATTAACAGTTATTCTAACACCACTTATTGAATAATTCTTAACTGTTCCACCAATTCATGATACCACCAAATTCCTACATATAACAGGGTCTGTTTCTAGTCCATTGGTCTATCAAAACCACAATGTCTTATTATAGTAGCATTACAGTCTTTCCTCATATTGGTATGACAAGTACCTGGCTCATTACTCTTTCAAAAATGTCTTGACTATTCAAAATGAGTAACAGAATAATTTTTTCAAGGTACTACATACACTATCCCATTCTTCCAAAAAGAAAAGTCTATTGAGATTCTGACTGAAATTAAACCTGTATGAGTCTGGGAAAAACTTACAGTGGGTACTACTGTCTTATACACAGTCACATGGAAAAAACCCTCTCACCTTAAATCTTTTTGTTAGTTTTCTTCATACAGTTTGCAGAAAACTTACTGATTCTTATACATGTATCTTAAATAATACTACTTTAAATTCTTTCACAGACTTGAATAGTTCTTCAGTTGATTCTTGAGGTTGCTTACCCTTTTCCTCCCAAATCAAAACAGATTTAGTCCCTATAAAATACACAGATATGCTCTTCAGTAATTTAAAAAGCAGCAAATAACTAGGGGGAAAAACTGGAAAGTCGAAACTGTCAATCATGTGACCCAGAGCTAAATAAAACTTGAGAAGTAGCTAGAATTTAACCACAAGCTAAGATAATATATAGAAAGAAAGAGTATAGATAGGGAAAACTGGGAGATGTTTGAGTACAAACTGTTGCTTTTAAGGTAAGTTCTGAGGATCTATATGATGACTGTAGTCAATAATACTGCATTGTGTGCCTGAATTTTGCTCAAAGTAGATCTTAAGCATTCCCATACTACACACAAACACAGTAACTGAAGTTATGGATGTGTTAATTAACTTAATTGTGCTAGATATCTCACAATGTATACATCAAATCATGTTGTACACTTTAAATACATATAATTTTATTTGTCAAATATGATGTAGTAAACCTGGGAGGAAAAAAAGAATATGGAACATCAGATTCCATCAAATTCAGAGTTTAGCACAGAATTACCTAAGTGTATAAAGAATTCCTAAGAGTATAAAGAATTCGATGGGCTTAGAGTATCTTTAGAGCAAAACAGGAAAATATTTAAAAATCTTAAAAGGAAAAAGAACCACAAGACCAACAAAGCAGTTAAGGCAGTAATTGTCTACAATCTTAGGAGGGCTACCTTAGACTTCACTGGGTGGATAACGAGATTCCTGTTTAAAATTTCAGTAATCGTTTAAAAGAGCTCAGACTGGTTGTCAGGGCAATGAGAAAAACCAAGGGCTTCAGATCTCACTACTGACTGTAACCAATAAGCAACTTCAGTCAGCCCAAAATATAACCATCTCTCTATTGCCTCTTCAACCCCCAAAACATTGAAACTTTTAAAGGAAAGGAACTTCTGGGTTCATCTCTCCTGGTACCAAAGTCACCCATAAGTACACTGCGATACTGACATTGTTTAAAAAAAAAAAAAAAAAAGCTGTTGTTTTATCTTCCAGCTATAATTACGGGTGTTAATTTGTTACACCATATAGCCTTTCAAACTTTTTTTTAAAAAAATGCTGATTTAACTACATAGGTCACATAGTAAATGTTTTGCAATCCATTATTTTTCATTTCTTTAGAACAAATACCCAAAATTACGGATCAGATAATAAAAACATTTAAAACTTTGATACATATTCACAGATTGCCCTCCAGACTGCTACTAACTCATACTCCTATCAGTAATTAACTTGAGCGCCTGCTCCTACAAACAGACCAAATTAAGGATTATTAATTTTTCCATTGTTTGTGATCTGGTTAGGAAAAAAAAATGTTTCTTTGAATAATAGTGAGGTTAAATATATTTCCACAAGGTTAGCAGTCATTCATATTTCTTCTTTCATCTACTTTCTAATTATCTTTTGCCTGTTTTTCTATTAGTTTTCTTTCTTTTTTTTTCTTAATGACTGGAATTATACTGATTATATAAATATCCCTAAAGTCTTATGCAGAACATACTGAATGTAACTACCTTTTCTTGCTTTATCAGAGCAATAATTTTTTATTTTACTTTTTAAATATTTTATTTATTTAACAGAGAGAGAGAGAGAGAGAGAGATCACAAGTAGGCAGAGAGGCAGGCAGAGAGAAAGAGAGGGAAGCAGGCTCCCTGCTGAGCAGAGAGCCCGATGTGGGGCTTGATCCCAGGACCCTGGGATCATGACCTGAGCCGAACGAAGGCAGAGGCTTAACTCACTGAGCCACCCAGGCGCCCCTGGGGCAATGCTTTTTTAATCGAGGATATTTATGAGAGTAAGAGAATTTGCAAAGATACGTCTTGAGTTCTACCTCAAATACAATCAGAATCTTCTGTGTTTTCCTGAATGATATGTCATTAAATATAAATATTATGTATTGATTTTAAATTTATTATAATGTACCCTCTGGTTAAGAACCGCTAACTTAAAGGCTTTATTACATCAGTTACTATAATATTTTAAGATATGATATACTTCAAATGAAGGTAATCAAACCTATTTTCTTCTATACTAAATGACTGCTATCTTGAGTTTTTCTGTCTGTTTTTTATAGTTATTCTATTTCCTTGCTGGCAAATAGTTTTTGTTGCCTTTTTTTTGCTCTGTGGTAAGCACAGCATATAATTCTCATATTTAGAATATTTTAAGTATAAAATAAGATAGTGTAGTCATAAATCATAGAGAAAAACTAGGAAAAGTAAGGAAGAGTAACTCAAACTAGGAACGACTTAATGAGAGATGCAACTTGAGATCAATGACCTTATTTCAGATCAATTGATAGTTCAGACACTGCTCAGATAGGAAATAGGAAATTTTGTTGTTAGTCCAAAAACGGACAGTGTAAGGGAATGCAGGTTCCAGAGAAAGTTGAAATCTGGCTATTTGTGCATACTGAATTCTAAAGCCACAAAGACCATGGAGCAGTTTAAGATTCAGGAGGAAAAAAAACGAACAACTCCAGGCCAAACTGGAAATGTTTTTCACTCAGTAGGTCAGGGAATAAGATCAGATCTACAGGAACAGGAAAGCTGTAACGCATAATAATACAAAAGAGTCCCAAACAGGCTAATGACCTAGTACCTACCTACATAAGTAATGTATTGTGGGAAACCTAAGGACCTTGCCAATGCCAGAAATATAAAAACATTTAACGGGGCTCAACGTTCAAGATCATTAGGTTAACATCAAGACCAATTTAAACATTTAAACATTCTTTCCAACTTTTACATTCTTTTTCACCTCTTTAAGTCCTAGTCACATTTTAGTTGTTTAATTAGTAAAATTTTCCAATGAAATTATCTTTCTTAAGAATTGTCTTTAGGGGCACCTGGGTGGCTCAGTGGGTTAAAGCCTCTGCCTTCGGCTCAGGGTCCTTGGATCGAGCCCCACATCGGGCTCTCTGCTTGGCGGGGAGCCTGCTTCCTCCTCTCTCTCTGCCTGCCTCTCTGCCTACTTGTGATCTCTCTCTCTCTCTCTGTCAAATAAATAAATAGATGTCTTAAAAAAAAAAAAAAGAATTGTCTTTAGACTTATTACATCAATCAATATTATCAGACTGAATTGAGATCACTCGTACTTAAGCTCAGCTTTTAAAATTAAACACTGCCAACCATTTTTGAAAAACTACAAATATATATATTTGGCCCAAATTACATTTTAGTCACTCCATTACGAAATAATAAT